AAAAAAAAAATTGACACAGCATGTTTCCGAAGATTTTCCAAGTTTCAGCCGACGAGGGAGTGGGTAAATAAAGTAAATGTATCGAGTTTTCAACTCAAAAACTTTTTCAAATATGTGCTTGTGTGATCAGCGCGCGAAAAGCAAAACATTTTGACGCCACAACCATGTTTGCATACTCTCATGCAAACACCCCTTTCGGCCAATCAGATCTTAGTTATTTTATAAAGGAAAACATTACAAACCGCGAAAACAGGAGAAAGCAGGAAAAAACATGGGAAAACATAGCAAAAATCAGGGGAAAACAGGTGAAAGATAGGAAAACAGGAGAGACCAGGGAAAACAGACAAAAACAGAGAAAAACAGGGAAAAGACAGAAACGCAGGCTAGGCAACGCTCGCCATACCAAGAGAACATAAAGTAAAAAGTCATCGGGATCAGCTTACTACATCAATCCCTCGAACCACGATCACAAGTCAGAAGAGTAGATTAAACAGTACTTCGGAGAAAACTGAACAGCCTCGAACCCTGAATTACTCTTAATTAAGTTAAGTGATTTTGGGTAGGGAACTTTATGATTCAACAGTGGAGGTCAAAATTGATGGAACCTTTCCAGTGATATTAGTAAAGGAGGCGACCTCTTCCCCCCCCCCCCCCCCCAAAAAAAAATGTTAAAATGTGTAAAATGTGTTCTACATTTGTAGAAATAATCCCTTTCAAGTTTTTGAGCGCAACGTATACGTATGCGTAGCTAATCACAATAAAAAACAGACCAGCAGAACCGTTCGTTCTCTGCTTACACATGTTTCTAGTTTACCACTTTTATTATCATAATTATAATTACACATTACTCAGCAGTGAAATAATTAACAGGGAGAAAGAAAAAAAACAGTTATCCTCAAATTTAGTCAAACTACCATTTGTCTATTCGTGCTCATATTAGTGTTGATTAGTTTTCTCTACAAGAAAGAAACAACAAAATGTTCCTTTCGCTAACATGCGGAAGTTGTAGTTGTTGTTGTTGTTTCTTAAAAAGATAAAAACGTATCACCATGATTACATGTGCCAGAACGTTCGCTATTTCACGAAACAATGTTATATTGCCTCTTTATTCTATCTTTATTTTTTTTTATTTTAGCCGAGAATGTTTGCCTTGCGTGCTTGCAGCATGGCGGCAAAAGAGTTGTCTGTACCAGAAGAAGGAGCAGCTGATGATTCAGGCGGCTGTAAGGATGGAGGAGGAGGAGGTGGAGGGGGTGGAGGTCCTTCAGACGCAGGGCTTGATGCAGGGACATGGGGAGGGGGCAATGAAGAAGAAGTTGCTGGGACTGCGGAAGGCACTGGTGGACATATTGTTGACTGGACAGGGGGAAGTGACGATGGACATTCTGTTGTTGGGGCAGTAGGAGGCGATGGTAACTCGGTGGCCTGGGATGGCTTAAAATTATTTTCAGCATCATAATAACGGGATTTTGCTTTAAAAATTGATTGCCTTGTGTTATTATCCTTACTCTTGCTGCTTGTTGTTTTGGACGTGCTTTTCATGATGCTCATGCGCTTTAAAAAGGACCATCCAGACTTGTGATGAGAACTTGAAGAAGTTAAGTTATTTTGAACCGTTGATCCATGGGCATCAGCTTTGCCAGTGTGTGTACTTTGAAATCGTTGGAGTAAACTTGTATTGTTGCTTTCCTTGTAAGCTTTAATAGCATCGCTGGTGTTTGATTCTTTCCGAGGATGTTCAAGGTTCTGATTCAGGTCACTTGAGACAATACAGAATATACCAAACACTTTGGTGTTTACCTTGGCTTTCTTTTGTCTCAATTCAACAAACGTTTGGTCTTCATCCTTGCCCTGTATTGTGTCCGAGACACGCACATCTCTCCAGTTGGCTTTCTCTCCAGATTGAGTTGGAGTCCAACGGAGAAATCTCTCAAAGCCATCCCATGATACATCATCCAATGGCAAGCAAAGAGCTGCGTGATTTTGCAGAGGTTTGTCACGAGGGCTGAGTTCCACAACCCGACTGATGACAGTTTCGTGTTCACTGAGCGGCACAACTTCTGTCTTGTTTTTGCATAGCTGAATACAGACCTCCTTGGTATGGGAGGTTAGAGATCCCTCTGGAAGGTCTACAAACACTCCTTTACATTGAATACCACCACCAGACGGCCCAAATATGGCTTTGGCTACGGCAGTAAAGTTTCTTGGGTCTGGGACTTGGACGCTATAGGAGCGGCTAAATTTTCGCGCCACTTTGTCTACAAATAGTTCAATACTCACCCGCCTTTCCTCAGTTATACCTGGGACATGGATATCTTCTTCGGGCGGGTGATCCACTAAACAAAAAAGTTCCAGATTACATTTTCTTTTTTGTAAAATCCTAAGAATTTATAATGCCATGCATGCAACCGCTCTGCCATAAAGGTTTCATCTGGATAGTAAGATCACAAGATTTCTTCTTACAGAGTGACAAATTGTCCCTCCACACTAATTCTAGGCGAATAGGTTTATTACTATGTGCTTTCATAGCCTTTTAAAATTTTTTCCCATGTTCACATTTTAAACCCTGTCAAAAGATGACAGAGGAGGCTAATCAGATAACGACAGGCACAGTCCAGATTATTTCACGTATACTTTGTTTCTAACTTACCTATAGATGCTGCAATAGTAAATGTCTTCTTTGAAGGTGAGGTTTTTAATCTAGAGGTCCCTTTTTCTAAAAAATGAATATGCCGGACACCTCCTCCTTTAATATGACAGTCCACGCTAAAAACAATGAATGAAATAAGATTTTCAGTCAGCTGTGTTAACTCTAGAATCTCATCTCTTTGATGAATTTTAACTGATACCCTATCCTTTCCACTTCCAACAATTAACCTTTATGAAACTGCAAGATTTCCACTCTTAAAAATCAAACTGAAATTTCTTGAAGGATTTTGTTTGTAGTTGCTTTGAGTGACTTTATCAAATAACAGTTCAGTGGTTTATCTGAAATTTCTTAAAAAAAATTGTTCGCCTTGTCTGTAACAATATCGTGGATGACCGCAGAAGGTTGCATATTTTTTGAAAAATTCATAAGTGAATCTTTGTTTTTTTCTCTGTTCAGGGGGAGTGCAGAGCCAGGAAAGGTTGAAATCTTATTACGTACTAGCCTTTTAAACTTTTTATCAAAGATACATGAATCTTTAAGAAAAAGAAGACCTTACCTTTCAGCTACATTCAGATGTAGCTCACAGTCGTTTTCCAGCTTATATACTACAGCTAATCTGTTTAGAGCCTCGGGCAACATTGGACAATCAAATAGATTGTCATAGTCCTTCGCATGAAGCACAAAGAAGGAGTCATCGTGAGGACTGAAATATTGAAAATACAAGTAAATTAATTCATTGTCGCAGGCCTTGAAAGAGCATTTTAAAAGGTTTATCTTCCCCCTAGGTCGTCTGTAATTTTGTGGATGAATTCAAAAGATATATGCAATCGATTAAAATTTTCTCAATTCACCATTATGATTAATCAATTCATTGATTTACTGATTATTACTGTTCTTTCGTTAATTACATTTATCATGTTAAGCACTGCGTTTTTCCTTACCTCACTGTGACAGAGTTTATATCGGCCATGTGCAGCTTTCGCTTAACCTTGTAAGCCACGTCTCCTAATTTCTGAGTACTTTTCAGCTGTGAAAAGTCAAACGAAAAAATGAGCTTATTATACCTTTGATTGCTTTTAAAAAATAAATATAATATTAATAATAATAATGACAACTGAGAAGGAGTAAAACAAAAGTTATCGATAATAACGATAATGGCAATGGTGATTGTAGTAGTGATGTTAGTTAATACTCTCTGGGGTAAGTTCAACTTACTTCACCAATGATGTACAGCCACATCCCCGTCAACACTAAAACCCGAAATTGCTCCTATGACAGAAAAAAAGAAAGGTTAAACCGCTGATCTTGTTTTTTTTCCCCGACAAGACTCGACAAGTGTGAATATGATACCTTTCCATCGCGAGAGTATTTCCTTACTTCAGCCGCAAACTCCACCCTTTTATCCGCTACGTGAAAAAGAAAGGCACTGTTAAGTAACTCATGATAGCAGTGGAGGTTAACTAGATATAATTAAACTGGCATCGCCTATTATGTTTGTAGTGGGGATGATACGAGAAACTCTAATGAATGTTATAAGCAGATGAACATTATCCCGATACCTGTTTGATTCTATCCACTCTTCTCTGGAAGGGCTTACCTCACTCAGCTTATCACGTAATCTATATTTGCTTTTTGGACTTCTGCGCTCAAGGGATGGAATCTCTCCCTCCCAAAAGTTTCATTATTCCGACTTTCATTAAATCTATAATGAAGGAATTGGGGTGTTGTTGTGCGTAATTTAATTATTTCGTGTATAGTTTGAATAACATAAACGTAAGCCTTACTTATTACGTTCTGTAAGGGCTTATTGTTCTGGAAGTCCATGTAATCTCCTTTGAAACCCATGTCCCACGAGGCTCGTCTTCTTTTTCTATCCCCTAGGACATCGACACCTAAAATATTTAAAAAAAGCATATTCAATTCGATAGATCAGTGTTTTTCCAGTATATTTACAGATGGCGTACGTATAGCGGAGCTTTTCTGCACGCAGTAGTGCATCACCACGCTAATAAAATTTGGTTACATATGCATCCCAGAAAGTTGTAGTTGTGACAAATCGCACGTACGTACATCCACCACTTATGTTAGCAGATGTGAGGTGTCACACTTACTAGCTTGGAGACCGAGGTATTAACAATTATTGTTAAACTTGATATTCAGGACATCCAAGTTATAGTCAATTGACAGCTGTCAAAAAGGTGTATCCGCAAACCAGTGTCATATGGTTGTATCGCGGGCTCAGGTTTACAAGCTATTGACGTGACTTTCTTTTTAAGTTCTGCGCTGACCAGTTAATGGTTTTCAACAACGGGCTCCTGGTTTTCAATTGATCGCAAGCTCAGGTCCATTTTTCAAAGGACGAATTTAGTTTTAGGTTAAAGAAGTTGAGGGGAGACAATTCTTGAGGACATTATGTTCCCTGAATTTTTTGTTCAACTAAAATGGAGTTTAAGCAAAGACGTTTTTGAGCGACGCACGTCAACCGTTAGTAGTCTTTTTTTTTGTTTTTTTTCATTTTTGGACGGGTGGTTTTCCTCAATTTGTGGACAAATCGTCTCTATAATAGTGAAGACACTTAGAAATAAAAATTTGGTAGCATCAATGTAATTTAAAATGAAAACGAATACACTTCCGGTTGACGTGAGTCGCTCAAAAACGCCTTTGCATAAGCTCTCTAACAGTAGAGAGGAGAAGTCGTTACATCACGTTGCCATAGTAGCAAAATTTCTGGATCTCAACAAACCGCGGAGCTGCAAATATGGCGGAAAAACGGATGCTTTGAAATGTATGACTTTCCTGTGCTTGACTGCACTCAAGAAAAAAACGGTATTCCATACTATTCTTCCATCTTTCGCCTAGGCAAATGCCCTTCTCTTTCAAGAAAGATTGTGGAGATCCAGAAATTTTGCTACCATGGTAACGTGACGTTACACTTCTCCGCTCCATATTTACCTCTGGTCGTCCCAGTCTAGTGGCTGCTTGGATTCACTTGGTTTGATGCAACGGACATAATGAGGGGTGCAGGTCATTATCTTGTCAATCAGGGCGGCGGCTTGGGACTAAATGACACAAAAAGGTGTTGACATAGATTAACAAATAATGTGCTAAAGGCCTGGCTCAACAGTGTTAACAAAAATACTATAAGAGAACTTGGAAACTATGGAAAGTATGGAGCGTCGTCACTCAAGTGGGTAGAATTAAATTGTCCAAATTATTGGGATAAAAGAAGGAGTTAAACATAAGAAAAAAAAAATCTCACAGGACTACCTTAGAACAACAAGATGGCCGTCGACTTACTGTTTTGGGACAACAACTGATACGGCGGACGATAAACGTCATGAGAAAGGCCAATCACGTAGTCAGTAATGATGCAAATTCATTGGGATAAAAGAAATGCCTTTGCATAAGAAAGGAGTTCCACTCCCACAGGATTAGTTTGGGACACCAATATGGCCGCCGTTTCGTTGTTTTAGGACACAAACATGACGGATGTGACGTCATGTGAAAAAGGTCTATTGGTGTAAAAGACACTATACGTCTACTTCTTAAGTACTAAGTACTGATGTATTAGAGACTTAAGTCTTGAACTATTGATAAGGAACTAACAGGAAATACCTTAATTTTGGCTCCAGCGGTATTGGACTTGGCACGGCGCCCTGTACTCTCATTGCTCGGAGCAGCAGGAAAAAGACCTTTAATTTTGAGCCAAAACATGAACTCTTGGAGGAGACGATCTTGTAGCAAAAGGTAGGCCAATAAACATGACCAAAGGATCGCGGGAGACTTTGCTGAGCTTGCGTTGCTCAGGGGATCATCCCCCACTCATCAATACGGCTCTTAACTCTCTCCAAACAGCCCCTAGGGTAAAAACATTGGCTTCCCATTCTGAACATCCCAGGGTGATTTTTATCCCTCTCAGCGAAACGAAGAGCATCCTTGTCAACTTCAAACAAGAGTGCCCTCCTTTCCCGGCCTTCCCTCCCCCACCCCCAGGTGTTTATCTTAAAAAGCGTGATCTTGTGTGCAACTTAACCTCAGCAATAAAACATATACAGACCTTTCCGTATATTCTGAAATCTTTTCCGTAATCTGTACGTTCGGTAAGTTCCCTGAATTGTAATGCAATACTTTTCCAAAATCCTGTTTTTGACGTCTTCAAGCTCGTTTAGCTGTCAAAATTTAAGTACAGTAATAGCCAGTTAGAAAACAATAGAAAGTTAATTGAGCTTGACAGTTATATATATCGCATTCCATATGGCCTTAAGACGGAGAACAAACAAACACACCTAGACCTTCCTTGCAATAAATCCTCTAAAAACGGGGGGGAGGGGAGCATCTCAAAAGTTAGCTATAATTGCGTCTTAAATCCAGTCCCTCACTTATCGATACTCTTAAATAATAGTGAGTAGCTTTCAGAAGCCTACTAGGTTCCCTATACATGTCGGAGAATCAAGATTTGCCAAAAAGTAACCACGAACCTCGATCCATAAGCAGTAGAGCGATAATGACCAAGCTTAAACTAGACTTTGGTTTCCTTATAAAAGCTGTGAATTTTTAGACGAATTTCTATTAATCTACATTACTCGGCACCTTCCTTTGCCATAAAATTGTAATATAGCGGTGTGGGTCCCTCGGAGAGACTGGTAATTCAAACTATCACGTTTTTTCTAAACATTAATGATTACATTACCGTGCTTGGTTCCTTAAGAAACAACTTTGACTTTCCTGCCTGCCATTTTGAAGAATCAATTCCAGCATCATTCATTATAATGCGACATCCTTCAGCCGGGTCACCATCCCAGCCCTTGTGAACATGAGGAGAGATTATACCATACCTGCAAAACATACCATAAAAGAAAGAAAAAATTCTTAAAGCTCGCTATAAGCCTTGAATATCTCAGCTACCCGAATAGTAATTAAGACGCAACACTAGTATGAATTACCTGACATGTAAATACGCAATTTCACTCGAGGGAGAATAGAATATTCTCTGTGCTACCGTTTTGACGCCAGGGTGGAGTTAACAGTTTTCTCGCGGAGTAGGGGGGCGGTATTTGACAAAGTACTACTAACCTATAAATGATTTGCTGGAACTGGCGACGAAATGCAAACCCAGCTCGTCTAACACGGATGTTCTCCTTCAAACCCAGGTAATTAATTTGATGCAACACTCTGCAAGAAGTTAGAAAAAACATAATAAATAGAGCCTTCAAAGTATGTTCAGTATGATCGTCCGGGTGAACGTAGTCCTGAAGGGGACCGTTGTTGTTGACAGTTTCGGACGTTTCGACAACCTGTGCGGTAGTCATCTTCAGAGTCGAAGTGAGTTGTATCACGACACTCACTCACGTGGCCAGCAGCAATGCAAATCTCTTGGAATTAAAGGAAAGTTTTTACATAAGAAAAGAATTTAATTCCCAACGGATTGGCTTGAATAACCAACATGGCCGCCTTTTAATTGTTTTGGGACAACAACATGGAGAAAGTGACGTCATGTGAAAGCAATCTAATCTTATTGAATTTAAAGTAACCACATAAAAAAGACTAGTGAAAATCTGCTCAAAACATAACAGCAAAACCTTAGTAGCTATGCACTCAATTATATTTACAGAATGCAACGTGGATACTTCTTCACGGCAAAAACCTTTATAAAATATTTTTTTTACTCCTTATTTTTCCACCGGCAAATGGATTATTTTTGTGATTATTCCAAGGTGTTAAATTATTTCTATCATCTATTTTCCTGATTCTCAGTCAGCATTAAGGTTAAAGAAGTTGAGGGGAGACAATTCTTGAGGACATTATGTTCCCTGAATTTTTTGTTCAACTAAAATGGAGTTTAAGCAAAGACGTTTTTGAGCGACGCACGTCAACCGTTAGTAGTCTTTTTTTTTGTTTTTTTTCATTTTTGGACGGGTGGTTTTCCTCAATTTGTGGACAAATCGTCTCTATAATAGTGAAGACACTTAGAAATAAAAATTTGGTAGCATCAATGTAATTTAAAATGAAAACGAATACACTTCCGGTTGACGTGAGTCGCTCAAAAACGCCTTTGCATAAGCTCTCTAACAGTAGAGAGGAGAAGTCGTTACATCACGTTGCCATAGTAGCAAAATTTCTGGATCTCAACAAACCGCGGAGCTGCAAATATGGCGGAAAAACGGATGCTTTGAAATGTATGACTTTCCTGTGCTTGACTGCACTCAAGAAAAAAACGGTATTCCATACTATTCTTCCATCTTTCGCCTAGGCAAATGCCCTTCTCTTTCAAGAAAGATTGTGGAGATCCAGAAATTTTGCTACCATGGTAACGTGACGTTACACTTCTCCGCTCCATATTTACCTCTGGTCGTCCCAGTCTAGTGGCTGCTTGGATTCACTTGGTTTGATGCAACGGACATAATGAGGGGTGCAGGTCATTATCTTGTCAATCAGGGCGGCGGCTTGGGACTAAATGACACAAAAAGGTGTTGACATAGATTAACAAATAATGTGCTAAAGGCCTGGCTCAACAGTGTTAACAAAAATACTATAAGAGAACTTGGAAACTATGGAAAGTATGGAGCGTCGTCACTCAAGTGGGTAGAATTAAATTGTCCAAATTATTGGGATAAAAGAAGGAGTTAAACATAAGAAAAAAAAAATCTCACAGGACTACCTTAGAACAACAAGATGGCCGTCGACTTACTGTTTTGGGACAACAACTGATACGGCGGACGATAAACGTCATGAGAAAGGCCAATCACGTAGTCAGTAATGATGCAAATTCATTGGGATAAAAGAAATGCCTTTGCATAAGAAAGGAGTTCCACTCCCACAGGATTAGTTTGGGACACCAATATGGCCGCCGTTTCGTTGTTTTAGGACACAAACATGACGGATGTGACGTCATGTGAAAAAGGTCTATTGGTGTAAAAGACACTATACGTCTACTTCTTAAGTACTAAGTACTGATGTATTAGAGACTTAAGTCTTGAACTATTGATAAGGAACTAACAGGAAATACCTTAATTTTGGCTCCAGCGGTATTGGACTTGGCACGGCGCCCTGTACTCTCATTGCTCGGAGCAGCAGGAAAAAGACCACGAACGAAAGCGCTGGAATTAAAAACAAACAGACAGCAAAGAAACGGTTCCGTGTATTTAGAGTACTAGGATTAATTTTTGAACTGATATGTGAAGATGTAAGCGTCACATCAAGGGACTTCAGCATGGAGTAATAGGTCACGTGACCATGGGCAAAGATAAATAAATTTTCAGAGGTAAACTTGTCGTGTCTTACATGTAATGTGTGTTAAACCGTGGCTAATTGGCTTGATCAAAAAGGATCAAAATGCAGCATGTAGTCGTCCATGGGAGAATAAGGTGTAAAAGTTCTTGGTGAGGAAAATGGACACTGCACTGTTACGTACTTAAAACGAGGTTCGTAAAATCAACATTACGTGTTTCCATACTAGATAAATAAGTAAGCTTTAAGAAATATTCAGTGAATCAAAGCTAAAGGCCTTACTCTTCACTAGACTGCATCAAAGCAATCATATCATTTGATAGCACGTCTTTGTTCTTCTCGCAGAAGCCTTTGGCCTCGTAATCCACCTAAAGAAAAATTACGAAACTAGCATGAGGCGAAGTTTCTGAGGAATTGTTTGAAGCAGTGTATGTTTAATACGTATGTTGAGCCTGTTTTGGTTTATTCGTTTGCTTCCTAGTCTGCTACACAGCCGTTTTTAGTGTCGTCACGCAACGCTCCTCCCCACAAAGGGGAGGAGCGTTGCGTGACGACTCTAAAAACAGCTGTGTAGCAGACTATTTGCTTCCTAGTATGAGAAATTCACGAGTTACGCGTCACTTACATTTCCCGCGTAGTGTGTGATGGTAAAGTAGTTCGACTGCGCCCTAAAGTAACGAGAGAAATCTTTATTGGAAGCCACAACCGCTCGGAGTTTCTGATAAAGTAAAAAGAATCAACACAATTAGAAAAATATCCACAATGAAATGAGACAGCCATTAACAGGCGAAAAAGTATGGCGTGGATGCATGAATACCTCCTTCGAACATTCAAACGATCTTATAGTATTCAGTGATTCAATTGAGTGCAGAGTATTGGACGGCAGTTGCAGGTTTGTTCGCTATTGCTGTTGTTTTTTGTATGGTTACAGATTTGATGTATGCATTTGAAACAGTAAGTATGACTGTTTTTGTTGTTTTTGTTTTTTTTATCAAGAATATATTAAGCGTTGAAAAACGACGCTTCTGTCATCCTTTGAGCAACTGACAAAGATGGGACACTTCAATGATTTGTTCTGCGGAGAGGTGACAGAGCTATTCAAATACTCGAATATAATATATAACATCCTAAAATGATTTTTCCACAAGGAAGTTAATCTGTTAGAATTTATTATATACCTCCATCAGAGTTTTTTCTGAGCCTTCAGACACTGCATGCATGGTGCTGCAGACATCATCAAGAGTGCACATAATACCAGGGGGACGCTGAACAAAGACATGAAAAAATATCAAAATAAATATGTCACCCACTGCTATTTAGAGTGAACAAGCTTTCATATTCCCAGCATAGAAACGTGTTGGCACACAAAAAATTTCGATTCCGTACTAATAATATTAATAATAATAATAATAATAATAATAATAATAACAATAACAATAACAATAATAATAACTTTATTTTAGTGTCAATGTATTTAGCTTAACAGGTAGCTAATTGGGGACACTTTCAAAAATACTGGTACTAATCTATTTCGTGATTTTTAAATTTATAATCTTTAATACCTAAAACCTACAACTATATACTTTATCAAGTGACGGAGTAAGACGTTTTGTCATGTGATTTGATTGTGAATCAAGTGCCAAAACGTCTCTGAAGACCGAGTGATTACAGTTTAAATCACGTCACAAAACAATTAGCTCAATCACTTGACAAGATTCAGGGGCACCCAACGACAATTTTCGGAAAAATATGCGTTCGGAAGACGATTTGAGATCTAGAATTTTCGGAACATTTGTTGTAAAATTTCTTGCTTGCCTGCCTATCCTATTCTTTTCGAACATCTAAGAAATGGTAAAATTGCCCATTTTCAACGGATTTTTACCCTAAAAAGGTCACCTAAAATTTTCGGGAGCCTTTTTTCTGGCTGAAATTTTCGAACAGGTAAGTTTTGATCCGTATAATTTTCGGATCACTAGACTTTCAGCTAGGAAATCCGAACAGATGAAAAATTTATAGGGGATAAAAATATGCCCATATCCACCGTTTAAATACTAAAATACGTTTAACAATGCTATGTTTAAGTGGTNCAATAACAATAACAATAATAATAACTTTATTTTAGTGTCAATGTATTTAGCTTAACAGGTAGCTAATTGGGGACACTTTCAAAAATACTGGTACTAATCTATTTCGTGATTTTTAAATTTATAATCTTTAATACCTAAAACCTACAACTATATACTTTATCAAGTGACGGAGTAAGACGTTTTGTCATGTGATTTGATTGTGAATCAAGTGCCAAAACGTCTCTGAAGACCGAGTGATTACAGTTTAAATCACGTCACAAAACAATTAGCTCAATCACTTGACAAGATTCAGGGGCACCCAACGACAATTTTCGGAAAAATATGCGTTCGGAAGACGATTTGAGATCTAGAATTTTCGGAACATTTGTTGTAAAATTTCTTGCTTGCCTGCCTATCCTATTCTTTTCGAACATCTAAGAAATGGTAAAATTGCCCATTTTCAACGGATTTTTACCCTAAAAAGGTCACCTAAAATTTTCGGGAGCCTTTTTTCTGGCTGAAATTTTCGAACAGGTAAGTTTTGATCCGTATAATTTTCGGATCACTAGACTTTCAGCTAGGAAATCCGAACAGATGAAAAATTTATAGGGGATAAAAATATGCCCATATCCACCGTTTAAATACTAAAATACGTTTAACAATGCTATGTTTAAGTGGTTTTGAACTACATTCTCGTTGGGTGCCCCTGAAGATTAGGTTCAAAAACAAACGAAATTCTTTATGTCACGTTAACAGTTCCGTCAATCATTATAATCAAAAATTGTTCGTTTGACTTATCGTAGGGCGTAAATAGAAACTTTCTTTGTGCCAAGTTATAAAAATATAGAGGACCAAGGAGTATTTCATGAAGAACACAAATAAGCTACTTTAGAAATAATTTTTGTTGCTATCATTATCATCATCATCATCATCATCATCATCATCATCATCATCATCATCATCATCATCATCATCATCATCATCATCATCATTATTATTATTATTATTATCGTTATTTCAAATGATTTTACTAAACTTCCCCTTCATCGTCGGAGAAGAGACCTTGGTCTTCTTGAGAAACCCACGTTTGAATGTATTATGCTGAAAAAATACTGATACCTTACTCTCAATAAGCTCGCAAACCGTCTTGTTGTTAAAATATTTGACTTCTTGCCACGTAATTCCTTCCTGTACATACTCTTCCTACGAGATATTTCAATGGAAGTTGGTCACTTTAAAAAAGGGGCGTGTTTCTTAGTGTTGCTGAAATCATTATTGATTAGCCATTGACCATTATTGATTAGCCATTGTTTGTGGTGTGGGTATTGTTGGGTGTCCTTTCAATGTTTTATATCAGGTGATTCGGTGATTGCACTAATCTGCAACTAGAAGAAACTACAAAAGTATAATACACAATGATCTTGCCATAACAAATTGATATGTCCCCTCGTATTTGCTGTATTATTGTTTCTCGGTTTCACTGGTTATCAGACACAGACTCTAGCTCTACTTCACGATAATAAAAATTTTTTTTGCTGGTTTAATACTTTTTTGTTACTTATAAGTTTGATTTAATCGAATCTGATTAACTTCTTTTCAGTATTGTAGTCTATAATTCTACTTTCCAGGTTAGACTCAAAATCCATAAAAAGTTCATTATTGTTAACGCACCTGTTCCATTTTCAACGTGAGTTCAATAAAAATTTGCTGCAACTTTTCATTGACAAAGTTAATGGCAAATTGTTCAAACTGATTATGCTGAAACAAAGAGAACATGCATTAAAAGTGTTAGCGCGCGTGCGTCAGACATTCCAACATGAATTTTAGTCTTCTCAGAAAGTCTGAAGGATTCTGATGGAAGAAGTAAAATGACGTCATCTTGTTAAAGGCCTTCTGTTTAGTTCAGATGCTTCAGTACTGAGCTAGAGAAGACTTATAACAGCTAAAGACAGTACACTTAGCTAAAGAAATGGACGTAATTATTGTTTTGGAACTAGAATGCCGATAGGTAAGTAGGATATTCAAAATATATCGATGTGACAACAAATTTTAAGCACAGAAACGAACCCGTGACTTACATGCAACATTGCTGGGCGCGCTAATAACCACTGGAAAAGACGAAACCACATGTGATACCAAGTGGTACGTGAACTTTTATCTCCGCCTTGCGTCCATTTATCAGGGGTTGGAGGAGGCGAGAGGAGGAAACACTTAGGATTTTTTTTTCTTTTCGTTCTAATCAAGACTGTTCAGTTAACGTTTTGCAATGTATAACGTATGTTATTATTAAGAAATCACAATAAGTTTTCGATAAAAAAAGCACCTCAAAAATCTCAAAGCCATAGATATCAAGAACTCCTATGGACATTTCTTCTTTTTCCTTCTGCATTGCCTCATTGATGCCCTGTAGAATAAAAATTTGTAATGTTGACAAGAATAATTTAATGTCTCAATGAAATAAGCATAAATAAAGATGAGGAAAAGACAAAGCAAGAAGAAAATATTTAGGAAAATATCACTTATGACTCCGAAGTATATGTATCTATTTCTCACTAAATTAAGCAAAGAAAAACGGGAAGTTTAACTTAGTGAATTTCTTAAACAGGTGAAGAAGAAAAACTGCTACAGTGATTGCAGTCATACCCTACCTGTACAAGATAATCAAACACCTGTGAGTATAGAGCCTTTGCCAACGCATCACGGGCCTGAAGAGCCTTTTAAAAAAGAAATAAAGCCGTGTATTAGATGAGATATGGATTAGTTTTGTAACGTTGCTGTTACGGCTGGGGAACAAAAAATTAATGGTAGATAAAAAGATGGTAGATCGGAGGCAGAGGGGAGGGGGGGATCAGGATTGGTTACTTTCCGAAATATAGCTCATTTGACGGCTGTCTCGGCAATGCTGTTGCCGTTTGTATGCCTGTCGTTTTACATATCATCCTATTTTTCTTTATATTTTGTTACTCCATGATTGCTAATCAAACAGAAAGAACTCTTTTTTATGATTAGTACCGGGGTGCTTTCCATTCAACAAAAATTCCGGTCTGAAATTTCGGACATTTCACGTGGCCAATGGAACGTTACAGACCCGACCCAAGCCACCGCGCGTTTGGTTATTGTTCTTGTAAGCAGGATACAAAAGAGCGGTACTAGGGACAACAATTTTGTTCCTGGTCAAATATTCCTGTCTGACCAAACCGGAATGGTCCGGTCTATTTGATTTCTAACGGAAATTTCCAAAATTTTGGGCTGAATGGAAAGCGCCCCTAGTGAATCTACGAACCTGGTCAGCGTTGTTAGTTTTCTTTGTTACTTCTACTTTACCTCCCCAGCGAGCTTCCATTATCGAGCTTAAAAAAAAGAAAACACTGTTTCTTTCATTTGATCGTTAATAAATATAGAAGTAATGTGTGCCATATAAGGGATCCCTTAAAAGGCAGTCTGTCAGTTTTCAGCATGGTGTCTTCTGCTAAGTACCCATTCCAATTATAAACATTTGTGTACTTGAATTCTCAATTGTGCCAACAAATAGCCTTTCATGATTAACCCGCTTAGTAAAATGAAAAGATTGAGCAATCATTACCTGATTAATTTCTCCTTGAGAAGGTCTTTACCGACACTAAGAAGCCTCGCTGGAACAGTTAGCACTGAAAGTGTACAATATTGTTAATTGATGACATTAAGTAACCTGGGAAAACAGCCGACATTTCGCAACGCAACCCACTGGTTTTCCCCTCGAAATGACGCCTGAGGACCTGATGACCATACTGATGGCTTGTCACTACCCTGTACTTCTGATTGTTTGTGTCGCCAGAGAAATTTGCTTCAACCATCTAAAGCACTACCCAGACTTGGATAGTGATATATCATTTGTGTGGAATTATTTCGCGCGTTTCTTAGACGACATTTCGCGGGGAAATTAGTGATGGTCGCGTAAAATGGCGGCTGTTTTCTGAGGCTAGACATCAAGAGACTTCTGTAACTTTTAGGTAACGATTTGTACTTACTGTTGTCGGTGACAGGTACAGCTACGTTGTTCTCCTCTTTAAAATTTATGTTACCAAGATGTAGAATGGCAGAAACCAACTTTAGTATCGTTGTCTGGGTGGTGGAGTTAAACCCAACCACGCTCATCGCTTGCTGTAAGTAGATAGTAAGTAGTATAAAAAGGGCCGAATTCACCTTTTTGGTAGAATAATCGCATTCACATGCAGAGGAATACATTTACACCGATGACGTCACACGCTGGAATCTCATTATTATGCGCTGGAATCTCATTAAGATAAGGTCATGTGCCATTTTTAGGTTCCTTAACCGGTTTAACAGGTTTTAGATCGATAAGGTCATAGCCTTTTATCTTTAACTCGTTATTTAATTGCTGTGGTATCTCATCAAATGAGCCGCTTGGGCTTGCCCAGTATCTTCTAAACCCTGATTGGTTAATGTAGAATCTAGTATGTTTTCAAAATAAAAGCGCGCAAAATTCAAGCGCAAAAAAGTTTAATTCGGTCCCTACTATACTACTATCAATAGTAGGCATTTTTAAGGTACCTGTCAACAAACCTCGTGTTTATGTTATTTATCTCAAGACACCCGGTGAGTTGGCCAGCTTACAGAACGACGCAGAGGGTTACTGAAGGGTTGCTCACAGGGGGGTACTACATATGTTGCAACTTACATTCATTAAGCACCATATTTATTTCGCATGGAAGGTTAAACGTAGGCTCGATTTCAGCCGCTGCTCGAGGAAATGAACCTGCAATCATCCTCTCATCTCTTTCCGAGGAGGATAAAAGACCGGTCCCGGTGGACGGACCTAGTTGAGTGGTTTCGAATGAAAACAGTGTATTTGCCTCGACGAAATCGTCTTGTATTGATTTATTTGCAAAAGCGTTTTATATCAAAGTAATATTTTAAATATGCGAATGACGATAATTTTTACCCTTAAACAATTGTAGTCCTCAGCATCGTTTGTGCCATCCACTGTGTAGACACCAGTTTGATTTAGATAGAAATAAAATTCAGGTCTGGCAAATTCAAACCCAAAATCGTCTGACATCAAAGAAAAATAAGAAAAAAATGCACTTTATTTGAATGCCAATGTATTAAGCACTAAATATATAATTAAGGGACGCGATTTTTATGTATCCTTGTGCACGCGCAAGGTAAATGTGGCACTTCATTTCTCAGTTTTTTTAAGACCCTGAATACTGGTCCGGCCTGAGGAACAGAACCCACGAACTCTTGCTCTACAGCGCTCTACCGACTGACCTTATCCTGTCGGGCTAATGCCCTCAAGGGAGAACTTATGAAATATATGAAAAAAAATTAGACGACAAAGCTCACCATAAGAGTTTTTTCTTTTACATGGAAATTGTCCCGATTGATCTTGAAAATTTGAATTTATCCTCCGAGTTTATTTTCTTCTACTTTAAACTAAAGCAGTCCAAAATGTATAAAGTAATGGGTAAAAGACATTGAAGGTATGGTACATTGATGGTATGTTTACTTACTGTGTTGTTCTTTGGGGCAGCCAGAAAGCAGCTGATAAAACACGTGGTAATTACGTTCATTCTTATTCAGGTGCACCACACGAGACTAGAAAAAACGTAAAAATCAAAGACCAGTTAATGAAGTTTTTGTCATTTACGATCTGATTTATAAATAATCATATAAGTAAAACTGGGAAGTGAATGAGCACATTTGACGTCGATTTGAAAGAGTAGGACTGTAAATTTACCTCCCAAGAACATTCTACGCCCAAGGAGGAATTACATCGATGAATATTTACCTTCTCACGTAAGACTGTCTTTAGTTTGTCTAGCTTACCTTTTCAAGGAGAAAATTAGAAATTTTTCCTCCATCGGGGTGGCCAGAAAAGTTAAACTGAATCTCCATAAATTTTCCCTTTCGGTAAAAGAGATTAAAGGCAAGTAAGTAGATAATACAGATAACCTGCACATTTTCGGGCTCATTTTACGTATCTGGGTAACTGACTACCCACCCCTCCCCTAAACCAACATTAACACTTAGTTCTCACTTAGGGCAAAATGTTGATTTAGGGGATGGGTGGGTGATCAGTTACCCAGGAACGCATAGTGATCCCATTTTTGTTTACATTAGGATTCCCAGTAGATTCCAATTTATTGAACATTAAACCTCAATTTGACAAATTTTTGATTTTTGTAGAAATGGTTCCTTGCTTTTGTCCGATACAGCTTGTTTCAGTCTTTTGTTTCAATCAACAGGTAACCTATAATGTGTTCTGGAAGTTATCGAAGACACATTGCCGATGTGTGTGTCTTGTCGCAAGGCGTGCTCGCCCCTCGAGGTGGCTTTTTAGAACCCCTGCCAAAATTGGAAACAAGCCGTACGCACTGATTAACACATGGTGAGCGCCAAATTGGCATGTGCTATACGGCCCCCAAAGTAGCGTACTTAAAACATTCGTTGCAAGGTAAAACTAAAGAAAACGACTTTGTTGGTTTCAACAACTGATTAAAATCAGCTCTAGAGGGAAAAGCAGTCGATCGTTACTTACAAATCTGCTGGAATTGTTGTTTCTCATAGTCTTGGCGTTACCAAAGGCTTCCATTAATGGATTAGACTGAATAATGATATCCTTGATATGCTGGAATAACATTAAACAACATGATTTAACAAGCAGCAAGCGTGTATAGTAAAGGGTGGACTTTAGAAACATTAGTTAAACTATAAAAAAAGAGTAAACAACTTTCTGTCTAGAGAGTTTGTCAGTAGTTCCTATTAGTTTAACGGAACTTGGCTCTAAAAATCCCATTCTGCGAAGTTTCCAAAAAAAATTGACAAAGGAGAGAATACAGAAGGGCTAAAAGAAATGTTCCTGATCCCATACAATTTAACTGAATTGCATAACGTTGTCTAAGAATTGACATAAACTGTTTTTTGTGGTATTTACCACAGTATTCAACTAATTTCTCTTACCTCGACTTTTTCCGACCCCTTTCCTGATGCTTTAGCTATAAAGTTCATAATATGCTTGGCGGAAACCGTCTTACCGGCCCCACTCTCCCCGCTAAAGACGATAGAAGAAACAACAACTGTACAACAACAAAACAACACGAAACGAAAAAATAAACAAATAAAAATAAAGTGAAAGTGGGATATCATTGTAAGTTAAAAATACTCCAGTTAATCAAGTTGAGAAGTAAGTCCGGTGTAGGTCTTTTAAAAAGAAGCTGTTATGACATCTTTGAACTAAGGGCCTGTTTACATGGAGGTGGGAGACCCCAGGTAGGTGAGGTAACCCACTTAGATGGATTAACCCGCCTGTCCACACAATTTCCCATATTAAATTTGATCGCGTTTACCTGATAGGTGGGGTTACCACATGAGACATGGATGGGTGGGTTTCCCCACCTAAACGGGTTACCTCACCCGGCCTGGGGTCCCCCAACTCCATGTAAACAGGACCTAAATGGTCAAAATATTTAATTTAAATTGAATTTTAAAATTGCACGCTACTCGTTCCCAATCGCTATTTGGGTTCCTTTTTAAATCAGGTCTGTGATCCAACACCCACTATGCGTCGTTCGAGTTTCTCTCATGTAATTGAACACTTCTTAGACCATAATTAATTTATTTGGTACTAACCTGATGATAACGCATTGGTTTTCATGTTCCATCATCATATTATGGTACATAGTGTTAGTTAGCGCGTACAGGTGAGGAGGCCTTGGACCCTACATATCAATCAGATTTTTTTTAGAAACATAAAAGAAGAATTGGTCACTTTGAGAACGTTCAAGTCGTCGAGAACTCTTTTTGTCTCAGTTTCTGGGTTTTTGTTACTTGTAAACAGCTCCTTTAAACTTTTTTCGGGGCTTTTACTCAATTAATTTGAAAGGAGAGCAGCCCTTGAATAAGAATTCAATTTTCCCCTGCTGAATTCCCACCATCTTTTACCTTTTTAGATCTTAATTTTGTACGGGTGGCAAACAGGCATTAAACTTAAACTCAAATTATATTGCAACACGTTTATTCAAAACCGCCCATCATGCTGGACAAAAGAAAAAAAAACAAGTTTCCTGTGACGTCCTTTTCGTGTGTACTCTAATAGATCATGGGCAATGACCAATCACAGCGCGTAATATTCACCACATGAAACGTACGAAATATGCTAAATCTATATTGTCTAATATTGTCCAAACTATATATGAAAAAGACCCATGCCTTACAGAGAGTGGACTTTAACGTATTCACCTTGCAATTCTTGAACATACTCTGTCCGCTTTGACCCATGGTATCACTAGAAACATGAAGGCTTCTTCTTCTGTTCTCCAGTATATCTTGAGGCAACTGTGCTGTTGTACAGCGGGTAGCACGGTCATCATGATCTGGGACATCTATCTCGTCTCCTTGATCTGTCTCCCCACCACCACGGTAGAAATCTACCGCATCCGGGCCATAAATGTGAAGTACTTTAAAGGGATTCACTGCTATTAACACGCGGCCTATGTAAGTCTGTCAAAAGAGCACATCCGATTGACTTTCAGTATTAATGGACCTATGTCTGCTAAACCTCCATTTACACTACAGAAAATAATGGATCTGGACCCATAAAAAAGTTGGTACGGACCAGATATTTTTGCCGTGTAAACCTTCCTTACTATGTTTTCATGGAATGGATCGGGAATCGCTTTTCTTTGGTCTTGGGGCCACAGGCGGCCAAAACCGAAAAAAAAAACCAGTCCGGACCCCTTTTGCTGTTCGAAAGCGCAGTGTAAACGCATCTTCGTTCTGTGCCAACTCCTTTATGAGATCCTGCCGTGCTTTACGGTGGTTTCCCGCATGTGACTATTGCACTTTTCAATCATAAGCCTAACCTGATTGTTGCCCGTGTAAACGGTTAAAAAAATTGGTCCGGACCACTTTTTAATGGGACCGGACCCGGTTTTTTCTGTAGTGTAAATGGGACTTAAGCTGACTTAAGGGGCTGTTTACATAGAGGGAGGAAGATCCTGGCCTTGGGCGAAACAACTTTTCGTTGGGTTTACATGTAGAACTTTTGTTCCTAGTGGTTAACAGTGGAGAGGGAATTAAAGGTTAATGATTACCCACTTAACGATCTGCCCTCCATGTGATTTTGGTTTGTCCTTAGTGCTAGGATCTTCCTAGCGAAAGCAGTTTACATGTTGCAAAGATCTTCCTTGTACTTGGATCTTCCTACCTCTCAGCTAGAAAGATCTTAGCGCTACGGACAAGTACATCTTTTTGCATGTATATTGAATACAGAAAACATGTGACGCTAGGATGATCCGCCTTCTAGGATATTCCTGGTGCTAGGATCTTTCTTCCATTATGTAAACATCCCCTAGTAATGACTGGATAATGGTTTAATCACAGTCATTGACGTTGAATCACGACTTGCTAGGCGTTAAATAAAGTCACGGTACTTACATAAATTGTTTCTTTCTTGAGTCGAACATACAAGTTGGCAGCAATGGCTTTTTCTGAAATTTCCGCCAGCTCAACCATGTCGTCCACTCCTTCTTGATCTGCTTCCATTTTCACAACTCGCGGAAGCTGTACGCAAAGGAAACGAAAATTTTTTCATTATAACTAGTAATAACTAAGTTCACGGTCGGAGTGCGGGCGACAACGATCGGAGGTCCAAACGCAGTCAAACGCTTTGGCTAAACGCTGCGCTTTCACGTAATATTCACTTGACAGATGGTCAAAACACGTGTGATCAGATTACGCGGCCATAAGGTCGCAACGCACGTGATCAAATTGCGTTTTGTGCATTCCATGGATTCTTAGAGGAGGACCAAACGAATGCTGGCTACATATATGCCATGCATGCGTAATAACAACCTGGAGATTAGGATTTCGGACGACAAGAGGAGCCTGCAATTTCCATAATAATAATAATAATCATCATCATCATTATTATTACTATTATTATATGACTATTATTATTGATATATTATATTATTTTAATTACTTAGATTTCGGAAATATAAACACAGCATTCTGCAGTAAGCGTTTTTCATTCTTCCCTTAGGATATTTTTCTTTTTTATTTAAAGCATAACCATTAAATTCTACAGAAAGGGGATTAAATTTATTGAAAAAAGGATAAACCTACCTTGATTTATTGGAAGAGATTCATCTTTTTTATTATCTCATTATTTTATTTTTGCCGTTTCTTTCTTTTTCTTTCACACACACCTTTGCATGAAACACAACCTGAGCACGCGCGATCGACGTTTAGAATGATCTAGATAGTCTTTGTTGCGTCATATCCACTTTTCCCTATTTCTACTCGTTTTGTCTTTGTTTATTTATTTATTTTTTAAAGGAAAATAAAATATTGAAAACAATCTTTTTGCTTTCAAAGTGAGAATAAAATAGGCTTCAAATGCTGACAAAAATATGGCCAGCTAGCTTTTTATTGCTTCTTGTGTAGTGAAGAGGAGACTAACTGCAGCTTCGATGGATACCGCTCAATTTTTGACTGCGACATTAGCAGTCCTTTTGAAATCCAATGTTAACTTTCTTAACCATTTTCTCTTTTAACAATAAAAAATTTAAAGATGCCTCTGGTAATGTGTGTTGTTGATAAACCATCTCAAGATAAGTTGACAAATATGTAAGGGTTAAATTTTGAACGGGCCAATGAAATTTTGTTCTTAGTTTTGGAAACAGATTCAGAATCAAGAAATCAAAAGTTTTCGTCTACCACATAATAAGGAAAAGGAGTTAAAGGCTAAGAAAGCAAAAACTGAAGAGACTCACGGTGTTTTTTCTGATGTCAAAAGACTCGCTCGACTGAGTTGACTTCAAAAAGTACTCTATCGCTACTTTATCTTGCTAATAAGTGGTAGTAGTAATGCATTAATTTATTCTATAGGCGAAGAGCAGAACTGGTTATATAAGAAAACACCCTGCACGATATACTAGNGAGCGTTTTTCATTCTTCCCTTGGGATATTTTTCTTTTTTATTTAAAGCATAACCATTAAATTCTTCAGAGAGGGGATTAAATTTATTGAAAAAAGGATAAACCTCCCTTGATTTATTGGAAGAGATTCACCTTTTTTATTATCTCATTATTTTATTTTTGCCGTTTCTTTCTTTTTCTTTCACACACACCTTTGCATGAAACACAACCTGAGCACGCGCGATCGAAGTTTAGAATGATCTAGATAGTCTTTGTTGCGTCATATCCACTTTTCCCTATTTCTATTCGTTTTGTCTTTGTTTATTTATTTGTTTTTTAAAGGGAAATAAAATATTGAAAACAATCTTTATGCTTTCAAAGCGAGAATAAAGTAGGCTTCAAATGCTGACAAAAATATGGCCAGCTAGCTTTTTTTGCTTCTTGTGTAGTGAAGAGGAGACTAACTGCAGGTTCGATGGATGCCGCTCAATTTTTGACTGGAACATTAGCAGTCCTTTTGAAATCTAATGTTAACTTTCTAAACCATTTTCTCTTTTAACAATTAAAATTTAAAGATGCCTCTGGTAATGTGTGTTGTTGGTAAACCATCTCAAGATAAGTTGACAAATATGTAAGGGTTAAATTTTGAACGGGTCAATGAAATTTTGTTCTTAGTTTTGGAAACAGATTCAGAATCAAGAAATCAAAAGTTTTCGTCTACTACATAATAAGGAAAAGGAGTTAAAGGCTAAGAAAGCAAAAACTGAAGAGACTCACGGTGTTTTTTCTGATGTCAAAAGACTCGCTCGACTGAGTTGACTTCAAAAAGTACTCTATCGCTACTTTATCTTGCTAATAAGTGGTAGTAGTAATGCATTAATTTATTCTATAGGCGAAGAGCAGAACTGGTTATATAAGAAAACACCCTGCACGATATACTAGCAGCTGGTATTAAGATTTTCTTACCGAGCTTGAATAGAGTACTCCTTCCTCTAGACTGGCATTCTAATTTTCCTCGAATCGATTTGCTTTTAATGACGCGATTTGATAATGACGTCTCTTTTACGTCGGCACCGCTAAACAACTAGGTCTTTTAGCCCCTTACTTTAATTTTCTTCCTTCTAAATAATATCCTCAAGAATTCTAGATTGCTTGCTGAAATGTATTTGATCCAGGTTAAAAATCATATAAAAGTAAGCTTACACGAAGCAGTCAACTGTGAATAAACGGAAACTAGTGCATTTAAATAAGTCGGAGACAAGTAGGTCGACACCGACCCTTAGAAATATTTCGTGGCTACTCGAAGGAGCAATTAATTAGATAATTATTAGTATAATTGCGCAGACATCATTCTCTTTGATAAGAACATCTTTTTCCTCTAATATAGCTTGTTCCAGGCTCCAAGACAAGAAGTGTTAATAAACTGTGAAACTGATGCGGAAAACGCGAGGGGGCTGGGGTGAGAGAAAGCTGTTGCTTCGTGACGTCCCAGCTATCCGAGGACCTCTAACTCTATGAATTAAAACACCAAGTGTCATTTATTTATCTATCTACTTAATTACAATACTTAGTCATTTATTCCTAGTGGATGGAATTCTATACATACGTCGAACATGGATCGCGTGTGGATCTCTTAAAGTGCTTTGGTGATCAAAAATGCTAGAATAGGCCATTTGTACCATGATATCTTCTTACTACTTAGACCAGAATTCATTTCGTTTTTACTTCCATATATAAATATTTTTATCCCAGTGAGGCTTAAAGCAAGCAAAACCCTGATGACGGATTTTGGTAGTAGAAGTAAAATGATGCCATTGTACAAATGGCCCAATTTGAGGGAGGGGGAGGGGGAGCGAGGAAGGAGGGTAGGGCTGGCGACCTTAACTGAGGAGAGAGCGCTTATTTTAAGCCTGGCAAGTATTTCATTCAACAGAATTTCGACCTCAATAAGACACATAAGGGATTGCTTGTGTCTCTCATAATATGATACGTTATTTATCACCTTATATTTCGCAGCAAACATTGGAACTCTTGACAGTTTTTCCATTGTCTTAGGTTTCAAATATTTCTCCTATCAGATGACTCCAAAATTCAAAATGGCCACTGTGTTATTGTGAAAACGGGACAGTGCCCATTTTGTACGAACAATGCGTCTGATTTTATCCGTCTGCTCATGTGTCTTTGATTTTGACGACAAGAATCCGTCTCTGGTGAGTAAAAACGGACACTTCACTCAGCGATATTTTTCCAAGAGCTCAAAGACTAATTAAGCCTATAAGAGATACATTTCTACTCTAAATTATACTTATGTGGTTAATTAGGAATAAAACGTGCACACAAGCACGTTTTATGTGACGATTTTTACTTGTGACAATTGTATTTGCTCTTGTAAATGAGATCATGTGCACAATTTTATGTGGCACGTTAGTTGTACAGGTCAAGAAACAAGTGCTGCCCAACTGAGGCTGTATGAACGAGTTGTCATACACATGTGAAAAGCTGATCGTGTACTGCTCATGACTCGCTGAACGACTGACGGTTGATAAATTCTTTGAAACACATTGTAGGTTTCAGGTCTGTTTCTATGAGTACAGTGTGCCTCAATCATCATTGACATTGACATGCAAATTTATCTATGGCTTTTTTCAACTTTGGCCAATATTTGCACACCTGATAAACTGGAGGTTATTCCTCTTTTTCCTTCTTTTTAGATACACTCTGTTTATTAGTACTCATCTTATGTAACATCAAATGAAAAGTAAAAGGGGACTCCTCTTCTTTGGTTTCGAATCAAAAACGTTTTATCACTACCTTTACTAAAACTATCGAAAACTCGTACTTTACGCATGCAACAGTCACAATAATACAATTCATGCAGCCTTTTCGTCAAGCTATCAAATGCAGAACTCGACTTGGACAAAAGAGGATTTTTTTTGGCAGTGGTGTGGTGCTTCTATGAAACGACTTCCGGAGAGCCTTTAAGGAATAAAGTCTCAGACGTTATTGAAAATCTTTCTCAAGAGATGTTTACTTGGTCTATGGTGAATACCGTCATCTCTCCACTCCCCAGGCCGGACACCTTTAGAACCGACACTAAGTTTCCGTCTTAGATAGATGTCCGTCTTAGAGAGACAAATAAAGGGACAGGCAGTGACCAATTCTAGGTGTCCGTTTTACAGAGGTGTCCGTTTTACAGAGGTGTCCGTCTTAAAGTAGTGTCCGTTAAGAAAGAATCGACTGTATTATATAATTTTATTTCTTCCTTTCATTATAACACGTATATTTTTGTTACTAACTGTCCTTTCACTTGTAATTGTTATAGGCATTTTCCAGGTTTATCTTTGTTGTAAGTCCTTTCCAGTAAGTTGAAATCTGAAAGTCCCTCGAGGAGATCTCCTTAATGGTAATGTGTTAATTGATTTCTATATTACGCCAATAATATTCTAAGACGTTTTACAAAAGTAGAGAGTAGAAACTGAAAGTTGTTACAACGACCGTAAATTGTCTAAATGTAAGAAAATATCTAGATAATAACTAAACATTCGTTTAGAAAGTAACTGATTTTTTTAAACCTACTTAACAAAAAAAGTTAAATCAAGTATATTCTATATTTCAGTGAGTAAACGTTTCATCGTTTAGGGGCCCTACATTGACGAGGAAAGGCGTCTCTCCTTAAAAAAGTGTGTACATAGTTGTATAAACACTCAGTAATAAGGCTCTCAATCACTTTTGTTCATTAAGATTTATTCATTCATTTATTTAGCTGCTAACAATTTCATCAATATTTCGTTTATCAGCGAAACAGTTCTGAGTCCATTAATACTTTTAACGTCTCTCACGGTCACAATCTATATCCACCTGCGAGCAATTACCACACTTTTTCGAAGATCATAGGTGGTGTTCCAATTGTGGTCTTTCTTCTGGTTACCTGTCGGTTTCAATTTGTTAAAAGCGATTTTGGTCAGGAGATCGGGAGGCCATTAGATGAGCTATCAGACATTGGAAAACGTAAGTAAAAGAAATGTTGAACGGAAATCCGCCAAGAGGTGGCTGGAGGACATTCGGCTCAACTTTCCAAGCATACAGTGTATCTGTAATTGTGTGAAAGTGAAATATTTTGAAGCCAGGAAGATCATAGTTTGACAAAACAGCTGACATTTCACGACGTCACCGCAGGTTTCCCCGCGAAACAAAGTTTGAGAAACGAGCGCACAAATTCCATACGGATGAGGCGACACTAGACTTTCAGCTAGGAAATCCGAACAGATAAAAAATGTTTAGGGGATAAAAATATGCCTATATCTACCGTTTAAATACTAAAATACGTTAACAACGCTATTATGTTTAAGTGGTTTTGAGCTATATTCTCGTTGGGTGCCCCTGGTAGTGACACGTAATCAGTATGGAATTACCGCGCTCGTTTCTCAAACGTCATTTTGCGGGGAAACCAGTGTTGGCATGGCAAAATAACGGCTGTTTTCTCACGCCAGGAGGATCATTCTTGCTTTTGAATTTTTTTCCCGTTCTTGGTCGAGAAAAGTACAAACTCACAAAAATAAAATATAAAAACTTTTACATAGCGACGCAAATTACATGAACATTTCTATATATGCTACAACGGGAGGTCACTATGAATACCGTAAAAGCTATTTAAAATTGTCCATCAGAAAACTGAAATATGGAAGTGAAATGGAAGAGCGTTGGACCAAGCGAGATCGGGATGAAGATTTTCATTGTGGACTGGAATGTACATGAGGCGGCTCTCTAGTCTAAGACGTGAAAGCAAATAGAATGGCACGATGAAAGTTCATTTTCATTAAGAAGTCATTGGTAATATACATTAAGGCTGCTGTTTCCATGCCATTCCATTTTTTTTCGGGTGGGGGGTGGGGGTGTGGTAACAAGATCGCAGAAGCGAATCATATTTCTTTATAGCAGCGTCTGAAGGCGACACTCTAGTCTAAGATATGAAAGCAAATAGGACAACACGAAGAGAGTCCATTTTCATCTAGATGCTGTTTCCATGCCATCTCATTTTCTTTTTTCCTGTACGTCTCTAATAGCATAGCGACCTCCTTCGACCACGCCTTTAAGACTTAGAAGTTAATTGCCGTCCCACGACGTCCAATCATTACTAACAGCACTAGCTATATTAATTTTCCAATGGTGCAGCAAGGGAGCGTCTGTTAAGTAGTTATTTTCGTGTTGTTTCTTCTAGACACATCAAGCACAAGATCGCAGAATGTAGATTCCAAGAAATGCAATAACAAATGCAGTCCAATAGCATTAAATGAATTCGATTTTTTACGACGTTTTGAAGCTTAAAAAAGCGAGTTAATTCAAAAAGTGTTTTGGTCAGCACTGCTATGTGGGTTATACTGAAACGTTTTTTTTAAATCCGGTTTTAAGCTCTCCCTGGATATAAGCCCCTCGTTTATAAGCCCCGGTAAAACCCCTTACCAAGTTGTATAAGCCCATGTATTAAAAGCGGAAGTTTACGGTATGATATTCCGGCTGCGGTCCTGAAAAGGACTGTTTTTGACAGTGACTTTGCATACGGTATGGGAGGGAGGAGGGAGTCCACGGTATCACAGAAGTAGTTTGATTTGGACCATATTATGCCCAATTTGGGCGCCCAGCGCCGACAATTTCGGCACTCCTTGCTTCGTCAAAACGAGTCAACCAAGGGATATGAACAAAGAGGCAGCGTGGCTGAGAGGTTTGAGCGCTGAATTTGTATTCCGGATTCCCGGAGTTCAAGTCCACACTTAACCTTAGCTGGATTTGTTTACGGTAGTCCCGAGTTCAAAATTAAACCCTCCGCCATGCTTGTAAAATAGCCAACTGGTTTACTTCCTATCAGTTGGGATTCTTAACCATCTCACATTCCGTTTGAAGTATTTGTTCATTATCCCATTGAAAAGCTCTATAAGGGAAGATGATGACCATCTCCTGTGTCCCTGATTAAGCTTGCAAAAGCAAGAACATTACAAAACGGAGCGTCCCCCTATGTTAACGTAATGCTTATTTTTAATGTCAACGACCTTTATTTAATTTCACGAAAACGTTAAATAAATCAAGACAAAAAGAGCCTAAAACATTGCTAATATACTACTAGCGTTGTCCCGTTTTAGTTTCATCCGCCGCGTTTAATAACCGGGAATAAGAATTTATGCAAATGAATCAAGTGTTCTACGTGAAGGAAGAACTTTCAATAGATTTCCAGGGGAATTTTTTCAATTGACCTCAAGTTTGAAGAAATGACCAAAAAGTATCGAAGAAAACATCTTTCTCTCAAAGCTCGCTTTGTTTAGATCCATTTCTACGCGATAACAAAACGTTTTTTTTTTTCTGTCACTTTATATGGTTTTAGATACTTTATTGCATATTATTTGCACAGCGATCGAAAAAAATATATTATAATAAGCGTTAGAGCTAGGTAACGCGATAAAGATAAAGGCTGTTATGCATGTTCAACCTTTGGCCTCATGGGCTATTGACTCACAGTCCATTCGGGCTCGAGGAATCATTGTCTTAGTAAAATCCAACTAGTTGGTAAAAAATATCGAGACAAAACAACATAAGCTAGCAAAACGCGATTCAGCCGCTATTGTTTTGGTTTTCAAAGGGGGCGCTTTTCGCTAGTAGTGGGCTATAACATATAGTCTAGTAGTAACTCAACCAATTAGAACGCAGCATTGATAATATACCACTAGTTGGATTTTACTAAACAATGTTATCTTTTTCTCCCGAGAAAAATGGTTGGTGCATTTAGATAGCTATAAAAGGTTTAATTTATATAGGCTTACAGCTCAGTGACATAATATTGGCTTTTGCACATCAACTGGTAAATGCAAGTAACGGTAGTATAGTTCAAGCAATTGAAATTATGCTTTAAGTTATGTCCTGACATGTTTGGGATGCAATATTCTATCACTTTGTGACTTTTACTGTTGTTACGTTTTAATTTGTGAAAATGTAGCATGTCCATACAACCAATACAACGATGGCTCTTCAAGTTACTGCAAGGCTTGCCCTGCAAACTCAGGACATAGTATTATTGGAAGCACTAGTGTGTCTGATTGTACGTGTTTCAAAGGATATGCTGGGTCTCCACAGCATGGTCTCTCATGTACAGGTGAGAATTTTGTCAACACGCACCATTTTTTTGTCCCACTATTTTCAGTATATAAAAGTGATAAGAAATTCTGAAATGCTTAAAATATTTGATTAAGAATTTTTGTCCAGTAGAAGATGACTTACGAATAGATTTATCATTGCATCCTAACCAAATGTATATATTCACAACTGACAGTTTTGTTTAGAAACTACCCATTCACGGTATCATAACATATAAAGAAAGGAAAATCTGCTTTCATCTGCTTGTTCGAGGCTTAAATTCTGAAAGACATTTTAAGTTGTTAACACACCTCCTCTTTTAAACAATTATATTTCTTGAGGTCAAAATCTCTGAATTAATCAAGATGAAAGTTGGATTAGTTGTTGAGTTGACTAGTGGAAAGATAATTTTTTTAATCGGGTTAGCTAAATGAATAAAAGATGGGGCTAAGCTAGCGAAGTCGGATTTTGATGTTAGTGAGAGTTCAGTTCATAAGAGTAGACCAATGTGAAATAATGACGTCATTCTTCTGTTTTTGTCTCATATAGTTAGGTCATGTGAAAAGTTGGCGCCCCCACAAAACGGCGCTTTTGTTGGTACCTGCAACTCTGTATATGAGTCAGTATGTCGAATCGAATGCAATGAAGGCTATGAATTATTGGGCAGCGAAGAGAGGAAGTGCATTGTGAGCGAATATGGTTTGATGGACTGGTCAGGAATTGCCTCCCAATGCGTCGGTGAGAAAATTAGACTGCGACTCATATTTAATAATCATCGCGACCATCACAATACTTTTTTAAGGGTACTGACGCTTTCAAGTATATATATTCCTTAAATATATTCTCGCAGCACAGGCTAAAATAAGGGCGATTTTCGTATGACCTCAAAATGAAAACGCTCGAACAAAACAGAAACAATAAACAAGCGGAAAAATCAATCGATATTTCGCTTTGACGTCATACTGCAACGCGATTGGCCAATCAAACAATCCCATTTCCATATTAGGGTTTTCTTTGGCGGGAAAACGGAGAGTCCATGTTTTGATCTTTTCATCCATTAGCTGATAAAACAAATGACGAACACTTACCGAAACCATTCTTCAAGGTCATACGAAAATCGCTCTAATAACAAAGAACTATTTGTTATTGATCGCAATGGATGAGTTAGGCTGGGAGGTAATTATAACAGATAAGATCAATTTGTATTCATTGCGCTACCTTGTCCTTATGTTATGACGCCGACTTGTTTCATTTTGCATTCAGAATTAGGTAATTTTTTAAACTAAATTCATGGAACTAGATTTTTTGAAAAAAGAAAAATGTTGGTGCTTAGGACCGCTCATTTTCAACCTTCAGACTCTTTTAAGCCTGTTAAAGGATTCCGGCTTCAAAAGACACCTTTTCAAGATGTGAAATAAGGAAATTGTAAACCCTGAAAAGCGGCGCATAGCCGAATAGGCCAAATAAGAGAGTGTCTACCCCCGGGATAGAAGTATGGTATATGGTTTTTTAAAAATAAATAACTGCTAAATATGAGCCTTCGCTTTTTCGATGATGTCGAATGTCAAGTAAAAACCGATGTATTTTGAAACAATTTTTTGTTGTAAACGTCATAAATGTAGCCTCCTACGCAGGCGTTTTCAGGGGGAGTTCGTGGGGAGGGATGAAAGACGAACTCCCTTAAAAACGCCTGTGTGGGAGGCTATCAATCAATCAACTTTATTTAAACACGGTAAATGGCTCAGCAAGCTGGTTTTCAGACATGCCGTGTGATAATTACAATTTATAAAAATTAAGACTAGTGATTAACTAACAATACAATATAACAGCAAGAAATGAGTATTAAAGAAATAAGATAAAAACATAAATACAGAGACTCCTGCCTCGTTCCCAGTGTCGCTCGCCTGTTGTTTCTCGCTGCTTCCCACTTAGCCTTGGGAAGCCTGTGGAGATGACAGCAGAGACTCAATATCTTAATATTTTTTTTAGCCATTAGATGTCCTTTCCTGTTCGTACCAAACGCCTTCCCACCTACGTGCTCAAGTTTTCTCCCATCACCCGGAACTTATTGCTCCTTCCGATGCAAAGATGGGTTCTATATGAAAGGCTCCGAGGTGCGCGTCTGTCAGCAGGACAAGTCGTGGACTGGGAGTCAAACAACTTGTGAACAGAAAGGTTTTTACACAAATCACAGAGCTCGAAAAAAGTCTCTTCCGGTAGTCCGCGACTAGAAGATTTCTTAATAGGGAAGTAACTTTTTAATAAAGCTTGCTTCAGTTGCCCGGCCAATGGGAAAGGGTTGAGGCAAGTCATCCTTTACTAAAGGTGATGTCACACGAGAAGATTCGCTACCACGATTTTGAGCGTAACACAGCGTAGCAATGTTGGGACAAAGTTGCATCCATTCAAAACAATGTCGCAACAATGTTGAATTGCTGTGTTGCGCTAAAAATCGTCGTTGCGGATCGTGACGTGTAACATCACCTTAAGACGACCAAGAAGTGGCCGCCGGTAAGTAAAATGTAACAGCTTCTTGCCCAAAGGCCTGGGGGGGGGGTACTTGGGTTAATGTAGTACCCCACCGGCCCAAAGGACGAACTAAAATTCCATTTTTTTCGAGCTCTGATTCAACTTTTCATTTCAAGAGGATACAAACAAAAATGACGTGATAAAGAAATAGAAGGCTTATTAAGCTTAAGTTAAATATGCATAATCCGATCATACCACTTCGTGTACAATTTGGAATTTATTTGCACGAGCATGTCATTTCGAAATTTTGATTCTTGATTCTTTCAATTTTGATACTTTCAATTCAAAATTGAACGAGAAGAGTCATGATTACCCTTCAATAATATACATGGAAAAAATTATCTGCGTGGCTTTGTAAGACGCTTTCCACGGCCCCCCAGACGTAGTTGTCTGACTTTACCATCCAAAACTTTCTTCGAGGAACTGAATCGTCCTTTTTGATAGAACAGCCTGTATATTGTTTCTCTTTTGAATTGCCTGTCCAAAGCTGTCATCATAAAAGTGAAACAGTAAGGTTTGTAGTCATTCCCTTGTTCGTTTTTAAAAGAAAAGCTCAAGCGATTTGTTAAGGTCGGCAGGCTCGTAACTATCAATTTCTTCAGAAATTCCCGCCTCTTTTTTTCATTTCTTCCAAAAATCAACTCAAAATGTGGTCCTCTCACGACAGTGTTTCCTGAACTAAAATCGGCTTTGCTTGCCGGTCATTTTTTCACTTGCAAAAAGTTCAAGGCATCCGCCAGCAAATTGAGGCACCTGATTGGTTCTTATAAATCTCGATTGTTAATTAGCAAATTACAGTGCTACATTCTCTGAGACATTTGCATATTCCCCAGTCCTTTTGGCATTTGAATGTTCCCTATTTTTTGCACTGTTTAGTATTAAAAACCGCATTACTCTCAGCCAGTATATTCAATATTTTTTTTCATGTATATTATTAAAAATGAAAATAAAAATAAAATCAACAGGGCTTTCACTGTGATTGTTAACTTGTGCAATGTTTCCCGGATGTGACATCGAAGTTGATCAATAAATTACATTTGCGAACTGCCAAAACGACGACTACTGAAGGCAGTTAAATTAATAACCTTTGGCCTTTGGCCCTTGAAAAATAAAGTGAATAATTCACGCTGACATATATATATTTGGAACGCTCTATGAAAATTGAACCGATCAAGCCAACTGGAGAGCATGCTTAGAAGCTGAGACGAGGTAAAGTACGATTGGCTAAGCGGCAGACAATAATTCCTTTAACTGATTATTGTTCTCTTTTGCAGCTGTTTTCTAAAGATTTCCAAGGACTATGAAGTGCCGAAATGCTCAACCAAGTTATGGATAAGATTTTACATTAAAATATAAAACTCTCTTGTTATGTTTCTGTAAGCAGCTGCCTTGAACTAATAAAATCAGTGAGGAATCTATTGAGATTGATAGTTTAATTGTGAGTACAACAGAGGATCATCAGTTCCTAGAAGCGTACGTAGTTCCTGTTAATAGCTCGAACACATATTGCACGAAATTTACTTTATGATTCAAAAGATTTTTTTTTTAATCAGTACACTATCTTAAAATTTTAGACAATTCAAATTGCTCGTCTGTTTTCATCAGAGAGTAAGTTTATAAGACTCCTGTGTTAAAGTTATTTTAAAATAAGTTTTGAACCCTTGAGTTAAAATTGTGAAGGAAAAAACTTCTAAGGTGACTAACAAAAAAAACGGTCGTTCAGTCTTGATAAAGGGTTGGTTGGAGTAACCGGCTGTAGAATGAAAGACCTGACGTCTGTCGAGTTACAGTCTAGAATAAAGGATGATGGGGTTATGGTGTAGTGAAGGAGTTCGACTTATGATCTGTGGTTTACCTGGCATTAATTTATTTACCAAATGAGTTTTTTGCTAAATTTCCTCCGCAGCCAATATCTGACTCGAAAAACAATAAATAAAACAAGCTGTGCTAAGGGGTGACCAACAAAAACGAATCCTAGGACAGTGCCAACGCTTCCTCTGGGGTTCTCGCTGTAATCAATGGCAGAGTAAATGTAAGGCTTGCCTGAGGTATTTGTCCCATTACACGCCCAATACACAACAGTAACCATAACGTATACAGTACTGAAAAGCATTGGATAAATAACGTGAAATAATCGCACCGGGACAGTCCCAAGCAAGGTCTCTGTTAGGATAAAAACAGTATTCAGTATCTGAGTCGTGATGATTAAGCCATCGTATGAATATCCCTTGTAATCACTGTTTGTTACTGTGATAAGTAACGCAGTATTTGCTGCAATGTTATATATCACCCACAAAGCTTCATGAAATCTTGTCATGGGTATCTCCTGCATAACTTCTAAAGGATTGATAGACACTTTGACATCCTCATGGCTTTGGACCTTTTCACGTGCATCTGTTTTGTCACGCGATGCATTCATCTCCTCGCGTGACTTTCCCGCACGGGAGTCTATATCTGATGAACGTGACAGCCCTGCTGTGCGGTACTTTAGAGGAACCGGTTCAGGGCTGCCCATTTCGTACTCTCCTTGTCTACATTCTTCTCTGTAATAGAAAGCAGTTATTAAGGTGGCAAAAACAAAGTAAACTGTCACAAAGAGAAAACTCCAGTTGGTTAAGTAAATAAACCACTTCTCATGTCCGTTGGATGGGTGGAAACCGCTGTAAATTAACCAAGCACTGCAGTAAACGGCGACTAGAAGGCGGTAGACTAGGATCACAGGGACACCAAACCACTGAAAAAGGAGGATAGCAATTTTGAGCAAGTCACAGGGATGGCAGGCTGTTTTTAGCACTCTAAATTTCCTCGATAACTTGAAAGACCGAGTTAGTTTAGTAACGTTTAAAAATAAGATTTAAATTATCGTTTTCCTCAACAGATGGCAATCAATTATTCAAGAGGTTTTAAACAATGAGCTGGACGATACAATGAATCTGGAGTTGATTTCTTTATAAACGTAAATTTGAACACTAAAAATCACTCCCAGTTACGATAAAACAAAATCAAATACGAAAACACTAGTGTAATAGCTTACTTAATTGTGAAATCCAAAAAAACTTGATTTTACAATTCGAAAATGGACTTCCTAAAATATTCATAACATTAATCACGTCAATCTATATTGTTACAGTAGTTTTGAATAAATATAAGTTAAAATCATAGCCTCAGTTATTTGTTGTTTCCAAATCCAATAGTTTCTGAATTATTTAGAATAAGACCTATGGAACAAGAACATAAAATGTCATGTGTCCAGTATATTTGAAATGTTTCTAGTTTTAAAAGGGTGCCATATATTTTAATCGCGTGACATTTTTGCATGATTGCACACTTATTCGGTGAACCGCATTTCCGCCTTTGTTTTTTCATGTTTCTTGAAAAGTTCCTATATCATAAACAAATGAACTGGCTGCCTTTTCTCTATTTATTATTTGGATAACTTTACGCATACATTCTTGATCAATTTTGCCCTTAATACAATTGGCATTAACTGAGGTTGACTTAGAGTAAAGTTTCAAACACCAACATGTACGCAGTAAAATACCAGTATGCAATGTGGGCGCAAGGAGAGAAATGTAGTAGGCATTATTTCGTATGTGAAGGATTATTTTGCTTTCGACATTTCACTGAGCTGTTTAAAGTGATATTAAAAGTCAACGAGTATCTAAACAAATGTGACTGTCTTCCCAGAGCATAGAACAACACTCGACGACAAAGATACATTGAAAGTTGAAGTAATCGACGGGCAAGTTCAACGCTGGAACAAGGCGTTTTTATAAAAAAAACGTTTTATCTCAAATGTCTTTCTTCCTGAAAGCACCTGGATTACGTTAGTATCGAATTTCGTTAGTTGGGAAGTTGTTAGGACAAATACATCATTCTTTACTTTACCATTGAAAGGTGGTCAACATTTGTACTTTTAGTTGTCACGGTTCAAGACTCGTAATTTCTTAAACTAGAAATTTCCGCCCCTTTGAATAGAAAAGGGGAAATCAAAAATTTAATGTATTGGTACAACTTTCACGCTCTTTGTTAATTCTTCCCTCAAGAGGAATGCGTTTGTTTTGAAAGCGATTGAGAGAAACGTCTAAACGAGAGACAGAGGAGAGACTTACATGCAAATAAGCAAACCGATGCCAGCGACATTTCAACCGATTGCTTAAATTTATATGAAGTCAACTTACCGGGGTTTCCGCAAAGTCCCCTGCATTAGGGTACAATAGGCGAAACTGAACCAGCTGAAATTCTTCTTTCACTTCTTGTAGTTCTGTACGCCACATTCTTCGATCAAACTTGACTCACCGCTGAGTACAACATTAGCCATAAATCGTGCATATATTTGTATTCTGTGGCATTGAGGAGGTTGTTGATTTGCTTGACAATGGCTAGAGTCCCTGAGGAGTTTATTGTGATGTACCACGTGCTAATATCAGCAGCACACAAAACAAATTAGCTTGTACTTAATTAATTCGATCGTGAAAAAAAAGAGAAGAATAACGTACTAAAGCTTTTGAATGCTTTTGTTGGGAAAGTTTTCTGATACAAAGGAAAACAAAAAAGATGAACTTGAAATTTTAAACTAAAGAAATATTTACATATGGAAAAAATACTGGGAGGAAACTTCATCAAAGGCTACTTAGTTTTACAACTAAAGAGGTTTTTGGGGATCAATAAATGTTTCCAAATTCCTAAGCACATTTGGATTACCTGGCGGTTTACAGGCATTCATTATCCTAATTATCCGACTTTTTTCGTTCGGAGACTTTAATATCCCCCACTTCATATTACGGATTCAATCCCGATACACGCGACGAAACCGGGCGTTTCAGTTTAATGCAGATCCACGGTCCTTCTGCAAACTTCGCGGCCCCATATAAGGTAATCCGGATCCCGGAATCTAAGATCTTGGAATCTGGAATCCTGGGCTTTGGAATCTGTAATTTAACTCAAGGAATCCGGAATCCCACTAACTATTGATATGCGGAATCCAAGTATCACTGATAAGGCATCTGGAATCCGTGGAATCCAGGATCCAAGACGATCCAAGACGACCAGGACGAGGAAGTTAACAAAGATGTCAAAGTGAAAACAAACAAACAACAAAAACAACTGAACAAACTTGCATCGCAACTGTTGGCGATTTTCTTCGTTGTTCAAGTCGTCTCATAAAAGGTGTGTGTTTCTGGTGTTCTGTTCACACGGAGGGATTACGAAAATTTAGATCAAAATCGAGGCCAAATTCCCCTCCCTCTCCCGGTTCGGTCGAAAATTTGACCAGCGTAGTGCGAACATCATTACTATCTAAGGGTGGATTTCCAATGTCGAGTATTGTACGCGCGCGAATTCGCGCGTGAGATTTACTCGCGTCAGTAACATGAAGACAATAGAGGGATTAACAGTCAAGTTTTCGGCAAAAGGCAATCGGCAGATTCAAGCTGAGAATTTCTCAAAATAGAAAAGAAGCAGATAAAAACTGTCGAGAACCATTCTTATGTATAAAACAGGCGTGAAACTACTTATTTTTGAGTAGAAGTAATAAACAGTTAACGACAATTAAGGACAAAACTTGGTCACGTGCATGGTACAAATTCACGTTTAACGTAAATGTGAATCTTAATCTCTCTAATGTATGGAGGGCCAACACGTATACGTAAACGCTGAACCTCGCACAACTTCTACGTTTGCGCGTTTCATACATTGCCGCCTCTGTTTCATTTACGCTCGCAAATTTTACGTTCGTTCGCACGGAAAAATTGCGAGACAGTGGAAATCAACCCTTGATCTTTGTACGAAAAAGGCGTGGGTGCATGGACGCGAGAGAACTCAACTGGAAAACGCTATTTTGGATTTGCTTAGCTGAGCGCACTACGCATGGGCAGATGTTAAAACCGCTGAAAATATTAACTCACACGACTCCAGCTTTATTTCCCAGTTATTTAATTAAAACATCAATTACAAGTTCTAATTACAAGTAGGCGGTAAATAAAAAAAGTTAAAAAACCTTTTCATTTGGGATAGTTTTGAAGGCTTGAAGGCGTAAGACAATGTGCAAGAGGGAAATTTAAAAAAATTAAACGCTAAAACATTTGTATATGTACTTAGAGAATCTGACAACGTAAAACAATGATCTGAGTAGAAAAATATAATAATCATTGCAATGATTATACAGTATGCTATAAGGATGACTTAAGTGGTAGTTTATGGCTGAAAGGAATTTACATTTTGTTGCCACATTTTAGAGCCAAAAACCCTCTCAGTTTGAACAGGCCAAAAAGGATGGCCTGGACAAACGGCTGTCCCAACAAAACAAACCCAACAACAATACCACTAGAGAGTGCCGGAGACTCATCATAATCTATATACGAATATATATAGGGATCGCCAAGAGCATTAGTGCCATTTGATGCCCAAAATATCACAGTCATCAGAACATAACAAGCACCATAGATCCAAGCGTAAAGAAAGTGAAGGAATCTCACAGGAGTTTCACTAAGCATCACGTCTGCTACGATAAAAAGGCTGTTTATCAAATGGGTTGATATGTCCAGCCCACTGGTTTTTCCGGTAAAGATGAGCGTCCAGTACAACAGGGTTACCAAGATGGCGGCATTGGCAGCGATAATAAAGATGACCCATAATGCTTTGTGATACCACGCCATTTTCGCGGCTGGTTGTTCATAGTTTAGGCCTTGGTCGTTAGCGACCTCAATGCTAATCCCGCTGCTTCCATCGCTCTTTGCTGTTGTCATTTGTACGGGGGCTGTTTCATTCGGTGTATCCCTGATGTGGTTAAACACACACACAACAAATGCCAAGATGAAATACAACGTAAGGAATGCAAAGCTCCAGTTAGTGAGATAGATGAACCACTTCTCGTCTCCATTACTAAGGTGAAAGCCACTGTAAATAATCCAACCAAGGCAATAACCAGCGAACACACAGCGATATATGGTCACTCCAACATCCGGGAACCACTGCAACAAATCAAGTTATGTGACCAGTTAGTAATCGTTATACACTGCGTCTGAGTCAATAAACCTATGACGGTCTCCATGCCTCCTTCGCGAATTTATCAGAGATAATTTCTTTAGAAAACTACCCTTACACAGTTGACTGTGCTGGAAAGGCCCTTCGCAGTACGCAGTCAGGTTACTGTGGCCCGTTAAGATCATGAGCCCGCGGCTTCAAAAAAAAGCGTACCGGCAACTTATATTGAGATGGATAACTTTTAATTCATCGAAGTTGTTGTTGTTGTTTTGCTTTTTGAACGAAAAGACTGAAAAGAATGATTGACACACCATAGCGCGCGTGCGCAGATGACCCTACTCCCCTCCCATGTGTTAACCATTTTTCTCTTTAGAAAACGTTATAAAACACATGTTGTGTGTAACATTGGGTTTATTACGCACTTGATGACACTTGAGAGGATTGCAAAGCTTTCAAGATAACTACTCGAGGTATTAGGTTGTTGACGTAATCAGCGTTCACAATGATGTAACATAAACGCTTGCGCTATCCAAGCTATGTTACAATTTTCCGTTTTTCAGCTCCGTTAGGTTAAGATTAACTAGAATAAATTCTGCTTAAGATGAATATTACCTGTGAGGCAAGTTGAGAAGTTTTCTATCTTTTCTGTTTGATTAGTTCTTTGTACCTCTTCTAAGCGTTTTGTTGTTTGGTGCAACTGTTGTTTTCTGCTATATTGTTCCCCTTCGGTAGAGATCACGTAAATTTTTGCAGGGTAACCGAACTGGTTTGAGCGCTATTTTATAACATCATCATGTTATTTAGTGCGCACTGGATTCTTTCAGTGCTATTTTCATTTGCTAGGTTTCTTTTCCTCTTATGGCAGTCAGTACTTAGCTATGTAGATATTTTTCGAATATTCAAAAAACTTGCATAATTAGCCTCAGTCAATTTCTAAATAAATGCGTTCGTTTCAAGCACTGTTTTGATTTTCCTTGTGTTTTTTTTTTTCCTTTAAGACTTATCTGAACTTTTTTTAGGCGAAGTGTCAAAGAGCACAAAGCAGTAGCAAGTCTCTGTCTCGGCATGTTTATCATCTGATATCGTCGTAATTTGTTCGTCGCCTAAGCAGTGATCGACGGTAAACTTTCGGAAGAAATCGATGTGTAACACAACATTGACACAACCGTAGCGCATTGCGGGATTAAAAATAGGAAACTCACAAGAGGGAAAAAATTAAAGCATACTTAAGAAATCAAATCTTGGATTTTATAGATTTCGCAAGATATATCAGGTGAAGTATTAAAAGGATGTTTCGTTTGAATGGTCAAACGACTCGCTCACAATCTGAAAAGTGAAGTGGGACTTCTCTGTTGCAGAAGTCTCAATAATTTAGCCTGGAAATGGACACTGTCAACAGCAATATAAACCTTTCTGCTTTAAGGTCAAGCCTAAGTAAAGAAGCAACACTAAGGTCAGTGTAAAGTGTAGACCAAACAAATACATGCATAGATAGCGTTGAAAATATTTATGAGTGGGCTAGCTGTGGAACACTCCAAAATTCAACTTACCGGTGATCGAATAAAATCTCCGGAGTCGTGGTGCTGCAGTTTTACTTGGGAAAGACTAAATTCCTCCCGACACATGTTTATGATACCTTGGTTGATGCACAAGGGGAGACGTAGTGTTGACTCTTTCGCAGCATTTGCATGCGTTGGGAAAATATTAAACCAGAATTAACAATGCTAGACAATTACGATTTTGACGTCATAACAATTGCGTGTTAAAAATTACAGTGTTATGCTAATGAGGAAAAGAACACGGTTTTTCGAGGTTTTCATGCTTGTAACTTCTTGGACACCCACGGGACCTTCGCTGGTGTCCGTATAACAGAGGTATCCGCTAAATACAGGTTCATGATTTTACTTAAAATATGGGAAGAAGCAAAAAAAATTAAACAACAACAACAAAAAAAAACAAACTAGAGGAGTAAATGAAAACTATTTTAAATGCTCACCTCCTCCATAATAGGTAAAGTTGCTTACACTTCTAAATGAAAATTTCTGCAATTTGATTGGCTTAGAGCAGTGCTATTTCAGCGTAATTTGAAATACCTATTGTGAAAATTACAAAGCTTTTGCAGGTAGTAGTGTAAACACATAATAGCATGATTTGTACATGATATTTCGCATAAATACCACTCATGGAATTTCAAAATTGTCTGAAATTTCACTCCCCTAACGGCTCGTGAAATGAAGTAAAATGATTTTGAAATATCACTTGCGGTATTTATGCCAAATATCACTACTAATCATGCTGTTACCCAGAGTCGCTCCCTATCGGCCTCGACTATACTATATACCCTCTAACTATTAAGCATGTTGCCCCATGTAAGGGAATCTGGATTCCAGAACCCAGGAAATTTAGCTCATGGAATATGGAATACTGGGCCGAGTTGTTCGAAGGCCGCTTAGCGCTTAACCCGGGGTTAAAATTAACCCGGGTTTCTTCTTCTTATGTTCAAAAGCATTTTCTCGGATAATTTTCTGTGCTATTTTTAGAGCTTGCTATCATCAACTTGTAGACAAAAAGAATTAAAGCTGAAATGCTTTTTAAGCTTTCAAATCTGAATTCAAATCTCGCACTAACCCTGGGTTATCTTAACCCAGCTTTGAACAACTCGGCCCAGAAGTGTTGCTTCTGGAATCCGGAATCCATGCATGGCTATGGAATCCCGAATACAGCTCAAGGAATCAGGAATCCAAATTCCACTGACAAAGAATCCCGAATCTAGTACCTGAAGTCCAGATTCCAAGACTGTCTTGTATTTGTTTACATGGGGTGATTATGAGCATGCATTATTATTCAAATTATTTGCAATATAAGAATTGACTAATAAAACTAGTATCTGTGGATATTTTTTCATTGTTGTCAACTAGTAAATGATAAATTGTGTCACGAGTATGATAATAAACAAACTAAAATGGTATTGCATTTCACTGTCTACGTAGAGTTTTCAGGTAACATCTGAGTTTAAACAAGCCAAATATCAACAGCTGAGCCACAGGTAGCCCAATGAACCCATACAGGACTATCACCACAGCAGCTTTAGCGGGTTTACTCTCATAGTCAAGGATTGGATAAATGTACTTATTACCATTAGTGGTCCCACCAAGCAACCAATAGACCACTGAAAAAAGAAAATACACAACTCCATACAGCACTGCATATACGATATGGAGAAGTTGCACAGGGATACTACTCAAGCAAGTTTCTATTAGCATAAAGACTGAGTTTAGCAAATGAAAAGCAACATCTGCTTCTCTAATATGAAACCCTGAGTACAACAGACTCCAGTATACAACTGTAACAAGCAAAGAATTATTGGCGGCTATGATGTAAAATGCCCATGATACCTTATGGTACCATTTTTGAGGGTAGTTCAAGCCTTGTAAGCAGGCATACACATGACTAGAATGCCTTGCCGTATTACTTTCAGTTGTTCTTTCCGCAGGTGAAATATTTTCAGTATCCTCAAACGCATCATAATATTCTTCTTCAAGTAAGCTGCTTTCATTAGTGTCACTCGCCGATTGTCTCGGTGTTGTGTATTGGGAGTTGCTTATTTGTTCCTTGTTAGAGATATCTGACCTCTCCACTGGTAGGCAATCACTACTTGTACAACAATCATTTACACGTTGGTGGCGAATGTGAATCCAGTATATAACAGATATCACACTACTGCAAGTGAAGTAAGTCGTTACACACAAAAAAGTCCAGTCTGTAAGGAAAATAAGCCATTTCCAAGTATTATCCAAGATTATGCTGTAGATTATCCAGCTGACACAGTATAAGGCAACCAAAATGCGATACCCTGCCACAGCTGGCAAAGGTAGCCACTGGAGAAAAAAAATGTTTAATAAGTGAATGAGGAGGATTTTTGTCTCCCTTTAAAATTTAGTCAAAGTAACTGGACGACGCCACCACTGGTTTCCCTGCGAAATGACACCTGAAGAACAAGCCTAGAAATTCCAAACCAGTGACATGTCATCACCCAGAATTGTGTAGTGCTTCTGATTGGTTGTGCCATGTGGAAAATTTGCCTCAACCAATCAGAAGCAACACCCAGATCTGATCAGTATGGAATTTCTGTGCTTGTTCACAGGGTAACCAATGGTGACATCGCAAAAATATCAGCTGTTTTCCAAGGCTAATTTGGATTCTTTGACAAAAGATTTCAATTTTTAAACTAAAGTTGCTTGAACATGGAAGGTTATTCCTCTTAGCTTTGGAAGTACGTTCGTCTTTATTTGCGCTCTCCTTTTTCAACCCTCCAGTCGCATATTACCTATTAGCCTCTACGTAGTTCCAAAGCAGAATTCTTGCTGAGTTTTAATATGGGAATCTAATGCTCGACTTTACTGGGTTGTTTCTTGCGAACTGGATTATCCACGGCAGTCAAGAGCAAATAGCACTCCACTACATAGTGTCCTAAGCGGAACACGCAAAACAAAGTTTCCGTGACATGCCGGGATATCGTAGGGGTGTCGAGAACGGCGGCTCACTATAAATTTCTATCTTTCCCCTGATTCATTAACGTGATTCTAGTTATTAGATCACTAACCGGTGATACAGCGAAAACCTTCCCAGTCGGGTAAAAGAGTTTGAAATTTTTCCAACGGAGTTGTTCCCGGCAGAGCATTTCGTGTCTGTTGATCGGCACACTGACGTACGAAACGCACGAACACGCGAATGTCACAAGACGTGTTGTATCCAGGCCCTCACTCCTTGTGTCAGTTCCTTCTCTGACTCGTCACGCAATCCCAACCAAACAATTTTCGCGACTAGACAAAGGAGGCGGGGCTGTCCGTGGGGATAAATTAAGGTCCACAATCGGTGGACTGTTTCATGGTGGTTGACTAATCTGTGCGACAACTTTTTAAATAATATTCAAACTTCGTGGACCGTGAAACTTGGTTGACAACATTCGCTGCAAACGAGCTGTGGCGCGTTTTACCACTCACGAATCAAATCCTTCTTGCATCAAATCAGGTTATCGCAGGTTTAAGTTGTTGCAGAAAGTAGTTGAATGGTTCTTTTTGCAAAAAGTCTGTACATGTTGCGCGTTTTGCCTGGGCCTACGAAAAACTTGTTTGCAGCAAGTGACATCAAGGGGTGCGCAACATCGCTGTTCAACTCGTTTTGTAGCAATCAGTTGTTTTTATTGCCTGTTTACGATAGGTTTTGGCATGAACATCTGATACACGTATGCAAACGAACAATTTCGGTTGACGTGCGCTGCTCAAAAGCGTCTTTTAAGCTCGCTATTGACCGATTCTATGAATATGTTTAAAAAATAATAATTATAAAGACAATAATACTAAGCCAAAACAAGGTCATATTGTTTGAATTTTATTCACATAGAATTTCGATAACTGCCCCCACATCCATTTCTGCAGTGAAGTTTAGATTTTTTACAGTTCTACTTAACCCGCCCTATATTAGCAGAACCGAATATAAGTTTTGTTAAATGTGTATTTTCTAAGAGTAATTAAAAGTTTATTGTCGAAACTTTGACATTATACGGAGCGGAATAAAGTTTTAGTGCAAAGTCAGCATTCATTGATTACCAAAGACGACATTGGCCGTTTTATATCACGGTTATAGGCCGCTCAGAGGCTCCTGAAACATCTTTCGCACCCAAATAAAAATTTTTAAAAGAACTATATTTGTATTCTCTTCTACCGAATGCTACCTGTTATTTTCTATAGGTGATTTGTTTCCTTTTCTAAATGGAGAGGTATATATTACGATATGCAAAAAAACAAACAAACAAACGAGCAAAGAATTAATAAAAATAACCACTTAAAACATCGGTGGAAGATTAAGAAAACACAGCTAATACAAGAGATGGCAAGGATGGACAAAACTGAATACATTGTATACTTCCATAACACACCCCTTCAATGTTCAATATGTTTCAAAACAATTAATAATTCATAAAGAGAAAAAAAAACAAAATTAAAAATGTTTAATGAGTGAAAGACACGCTAAACTTTACGTCCAATTTTTGAGACCAAAATGACCCCAAATCTAAATGTTAGAGCAAAAATGAGTTGATCGATATCTTGGCGTTGCCTCGAGTTTTTAAACCTAATAACATACTCCTGCTCGTTTTTTAAAACAGTACAACACGCCCTTAACTTAACTTCTGCCCGGATTACCTTCTAAACATGTTTTTAATTTTTCTTTATTCTGAGTGTAACGTATTCGTATTTCTGTATAAATAAAGGCAATAAATAACTAACTTTGAAGCAAGAATTTTAAGGTTATACAATTGCAGCTAACTAAGTCTCGTTTAAACTTGATTTTACTTCCTCTCCAGGAGAAGAGTGGTTTACAGAGTTCGCCTTAAGTTCATCACGCAAAGATTTAAGTTCCAAGAAAAACGGCAACTTGTCGCTTGCACGGGGGTAGGTCTGGGTTCTACCAGATGTAGATGGCATAACATAAACTACCTGTGAAGAGAGAGAGGTAGAGAAAAAAATAATGACGATAACTATAACGACGACCATGACGACGACGATAAGGGGAAGGTGGAAGAAGGAGTCTAGTGCAATTTTTTTTCGGTCCCCCCTCCCCTTAACCCCCAGGTCCATTCCATCAACAAAATACACGGTCCCTTAGATTGCAAAAACTACAGTTTCATTAAAATAAGGGCACTACAGAAAGGATATTTTTTTTATTACTATCAACAGCTGGCATCGTGCTAGCTAGCTTACCGAAGTCGTTCCTGGAATTGGGTCTTTCTGCCTGCCAACCTTACATTTAGATCCGGAAAAGGTTTCGTAGATTACTTGAAAACAAAAACAAACCAAAAAATTCAGTTATTGATTTACTAGTTTGTTATCTTTACTTAAATTTTAGCTATTACTTTCATTGTAGTCATTTAACTATATTAAATGGAATAGCAGAAGGCAAGGTGCTGATTTCGTGAGCTGGGCTAGCCTGTTCCAGGCGTTCAGATAGTGGGGAGCGGTGCGAAGTAAAAAGGAGAAAAAATAAAAGCGAGGGAGTCCCCCTCTACTTTTCATCGCTTTCTTTACTTCGCACCGCTCTCCACTATCTGAACGCTTGGAACAGGCTAGAGCTGGGCTGGCTCATTTCGCCTTCGTGAATTTTATCCCAGTATCACTGGTCTGGCTGGGCTGCCATATGATCACTATGACTTGGGGTTTAATTAACATGTCACGATCCTGGGAAAGCCTGTGAGCCACTTCCAGCTCATTTACTCAGCCCCAAGACAAGAAACAAGAAAGGAAATTTTAAGGTTTCAACTGGAGCAAGATAAACAATGATTATAAATTAATTGGCCTAGCCTTAGGAATAATAAGAAAACAAACAAATCAATCGAGACAAAAAAAAGGGGACAAGAGCAGAATATAAAAGAGAAGTCACCTTTTCCATTAAAACACACAATAAATGGTTTATATCGCTCCACCTTTTGTATAAGAGCCTCCTTCCCATCTCTCATTTCTTTCCTGAAAAGAACGGAAACAAAAAATACATTAGTACTTCATGAATACAGGCTTTTATGATCTAAAGCATCGTGTTAAAAATAAAATAAATGTTCGACTTTGTTCTTGAGCTATAAATAAATCAAGGCTTTCCGCAGTTACAATGGTTTCATTAATTTACACTATCAAGATACCTTGAAATATCATTCTGACTCCCCAGATGAAGAGCTTCCTCGCAGGCTATGCGCGAGTAAAAGACACCTGTGAGAAGAGAGGTTGCTCCCTCTTTCCTCATGCGTGTCCTCCTCCCTTACGCAGGTCATGGCTAATAATTAGTATTAATTATACATCCTTTTTGTCCCAATCAACATGGCTTCTATATCATTGCATGGATACAGGTTCATGTATTTTGTGTTTATTGCAGGAAATAGAACATCTAATTAAAAAATATTAATTATATGTGACTAGAAATAAGTCACCATGACCATATCCTGTAGCCATGACCTGGCCCCAAGGGAGGAGGACACGCCGAGGAAAGAGGAAGCTACCTCTCTCCTCAAAGGTGTCTTACTCTTGTGCATAGCCTGCACTCCTAGTTCCTAGCAGGGATTTAATAGCCAAGTATTTTTTTTTTGTATACACAGGTGTGACCGGCCTGCCCCAATCAGCAACCCATCCCTGTTGAGCTTATCACCTGGACAGATCAGCGCTTCCTCTTGTAGTACGCTCCACCATGTTTGTTAAACCTATCTGATAATCTGATGGACATCTCACATCATCTAGATAAGTCAATCTGTCAGGCACCAAACCCGATTGGTACAGACATGGCCCTGCAAATTAAAGGGCATGTATTACAAATCTGTAAATAAATTATAAAATATATATAAGGGACTACATGTAGCTAAATAATTATTATTAAGAAAGAGTTAATCAGGCAATAATTATTAAAAAAAGACAGTCAGCAATGTCAGTAATTGTTTAGGATTAAGGAATTGTTTGTTTTAAAAATGAACAATTACATAACTAATAATGATCATTATGATGCTGCTGATGATGACGATAATAATAATAATAATAATTATAAAAATAATAATAATAATTATTATTATTTTATAATAGGAATTCATTTAAGAAATCTTGTTTCTTATCATTGCCTTAACTGAAAGCAAAATGAGAAAAAAACAAACAAGCAAACAAAGAACAAGCAAACGAAAAAAAACCACGCTCATTTACAGGAAAATCGGCAATTAATTGGACTCAAAGCAAATTCACCCACAGAAATGGTTATTGGCTCCTGGATAGTGATGTCCTTTGTAGGCTGACATTAAACCTGGGTTTATTCCAACCTGCCAACACAACAGAGAGGTCTAGAATCAGATTTAATTAAAAATTGTAATTCATTGATGGTAAATGAAAAATGTTAAAAACATAAGGTTAGAAAATCCTGGAACTTTATGCTAAATTTTGAAAATAACTAGACAAAATCTTAAATAAGTTACAACTCTGCTTGATGCAAAATGCTCTCTACTTTTCGGCATTTTAACTCACTGAAATTTCTATTGGCATTATACAGATTTTTTACATAGACAGTACTTTTCCCCTCTTTTTGATAATATAATTACTTTGTTGTTAGTTTTGAAAGAACACATTGTACAAGGCTGTGCTCTAGGGAAAATTGAAGGGAGCCCAGTGCTCTGAAACTGTAAAATCTAGGGTGCCCAGCATATGATTTGTATGAAAAATCTGGGATTTTCTAGTCGCCCGAGGGCAAAAGTTAGGTGCCAGGGGCCACTGGGCTCTGCTAGAGCACAGCCCTGTTGTATATGGGCTGGAAATTGACAAATGAAATGAGAGCCTAAAATTGTTTCGAGTTTTTTCTGGAGATTTGTTAAACAGGCCTATTGCCATTGTTGTTTTAAGGCATTTAGTTATTTTTCAGCATTTGAAGTGCTGACATGCACAGCACACTTACAAATAATATATCCAGATTGTATCCCAAATGCTCAGGTAATTTCAAGTTGAGTACTTCTTCCTCAGTCATATCTCCAAATCTATTAACTGGTCGCCTTGGTTTCTTGGGTGATTTTCCTGGTTCTTGCCTGCAAGTACTGGTGTCCTGTTCAGCTTCATCTGTGACGTCACTTGTCACTGGGTTCTTAATGCTAAAATAAGGAAAAAAATTCACATCCTGTGACATCGAAGACAAAATCATTATTTGATTTTATCAAATTATGTCACATTTGGTAGTCAACAGGTCAAGCAAACAGCGGTAAACTTAATGCTGAGAG